AAAGTAAGTCTTAAAGATCTACTCTACAGCATAGTGCCCATGGTTAGTATATTGTATTATATACTGAAAAATTTACTAAGAGAGTTGATCCTATGTTAGGTGTTAACACAAAAAATAATAGGGTGGAAGGAAACTTTTGGATATGATGGATAAGTTTATGGTGTAGATTGTCATAATGGTTTCAGAGGTATATACTTAACCTCCAAACTCCTTAAGTTGTATACATTATTATGTACAGCCTTTCATATGTCAAAAACAAAAAAATCTTTTCTTGATTCCAATTTCTCCTTTGGCAAAAAGTTGGTAAGATAGTACAAGAAACTATAGGTGTCTCACTTATGAATATAGATATTTGCCCTAAATATAAGCAAATCAAATTCACTAGTATATCAAGAGAAAACCTGACAAAACTATTTTTTTTTAAAGATGGCACCACATATTGGTTGCTGTTTTTGTTTTTTTTTTTTAAGATTTATTTATTTATTTGACAGAGAGAGGCACAGCGAGAGAGAGAACACAAGCAGGGGGAATGGAGAGGGAGAAGCAGGCTTCCTGCCGAGCAGACAGACCGATGCGGGGCTCGATCCCAGGACCCCGGGACCATGGCCCGAGCCGAAGGCAGATGTCCAATAACTGAGCCACCCAGGCGCCCCTGACAAAACTATTTTGATAAAATCTGTCAGTGTAATTCATTACATGAATGGTTAAAGAATCTATGCCAACAAGTCATTTGACAAAATTCAAGGGCTGTTCTGAGTAAGAACTAAATGGCTTAGGGAAATTGGAAGAGAAAGATGATAAAGACTATCAAAAGCAACAGCAAATTTCATACTACATAGTGGAATGTGGAAGTATTCAGCATGTTAGGAACAAAACAAGCATACTTTTTATCACTACTATTGTTCAGCATTGCTTTCTTTTTTCTCTTTTTAAAAAAGATTTATTTGAGAGACAGAGAGTGAGCTGGGGGAGGGGAAGAGGTAGAGAAGCAGACTCCCTGCTGAGTGCGGAGCCTGACAAGGGCCGCCATCCCAGCCCTGAGAGCATGACCTGAGCTGAAATCAAGTCAGATTCTTAACCAACTCAGCCACCCAGGCGCCCCTATTCAGCATTGCTTTAGAGGTGTTAGCTAATGCAGTAGATGAAAAAAACGAAAGGGGGTAAACATTTTAGAAGCAATATCTACTTATGGATTATATAATTGTACACTTTGAAAACTGATGAGAATATGGGAAAAGAAATACTCAAATTTGTAATAGAATTTAAGGGGCTGGCTGGATACAAAGTATGTAGAAAAATGAAAAGTATTTTCTACACTGGCAATAGCTAGTTAAAAATGGAAATGGAGGGGCGCCTGGGTGGCTCAGTTAAGCGTCCGCCTTCAGCTCTGATCATGATCTCAGGGTCCTGTGATCTAGCCCCACATCGGGCTCCCCGCTCGGTGGGGGGCCTGCTTCTCACCCTCCCGCCTGCCGCTCCCCCTCTATCTCAAATAAATAAATGAATAAATAAAAACATTCTCAATAAAAAAATGGAAATGGAAAGTATATACCATTTCCGCTTTAATGACAAAAAATTCTTAAGAATACATTTAGGTGCCTCCCTGCAAGAATAGTTTTTAAAACTCTGTGTGTGTGTATAAAACGTGGGAGGGTGAAACCTGCCTTACTGGATATTAAAACTTACTTTGAATATAGGGCACGTGGGTGGCTCAGTTGGTTAAGCGTCTGACTTGGTTTCAACTCAGGCCGATCTCAGGGTCATGAGATTGGCCCCGTGGGCTCCATGCCCAGCACAGCATCTGCTTGAGATTCTCTCCCTATCCTCCCCCTCTGCCCCTCCCCAAGGCTCATACTCACACACTCTCTCTCTCAAATAAATAAAATCTTTAAAAAAAACCCTTATTTTGAACATGCTGAATCAAAACTATGATTTTTTATTTTTTTTTAAGATTTTATTTATTTGAGAGAGAAAGCAGGGGGAGGGGCAGAGGGAGAAGCAGGCTCCCTGCTCAGCAGGGAGCCCGATGGGGGACTTAATCCCAGGACTCAGGATCATGATCTGAGTTGAAGGCAGACACTGACTGAGCCACTCAGGTGCCCCCCCCCTTTTTTTTTTAAGATTTTATTTATTTATTTGACAGCACAAGCAGGGGGAGCAGCAGAGGGAGAGGGAGAAGCAGGCTCCCTGCTGAGAAGGGAGCGTGATGTGGGGCTTGATCCCAGGACCCTGGGATCATGACCTGAGCCGAAGGCAGACGCTTCACCGACTGAGCCACCCAGGCGCCCCTAAAACTATGATTTTTTAAAAAATTAAAAAGAAAACAAAATTGTGATATAGGAATAGGCAAATAAATGATTGGATCATAACAGTTCAGAAATAGACTTTTCTATTCAAATGGCCATCCATTTGGAAGGAAATAAAATTGGGCTTGTATTATGTAATAAAAAATCCACATGGGTTAAACAAAAGGGAATACAAAAGCATTAGAAGAAAAATTAAGGGAATAGTTGTATAACTAAGGTAAAAATTTAAAAGAGGTCTTCCTAAGCAAGGCACGAAACCTGGAAATCAAAAAAGAAAAGATGCGTATACTTTACTATATAAAATTTAATTTAAATAAATAATTCAATTTAAATAAGTATTAAGTTAAAACTGTTGTATGATAAAATCATAAACTGAATAAAAAGGCAAAAGACAGAAAAATATATACTTTTTCAGTCCTCATTTGGGATTGCTGTTTGCATTCTCCACCCCGTCTAATCCAGGCTGCTCTGTTTATTAAAATCATTGGATCCCTTGTTTGAGAGTCGGTTTATTATGTGGGGGAAAATAACCAACCTATCACTGTTAGAGGCAAGGGGTGAGATGCCCTGGTGTTGATTCACATTTATACCTTGTATCTCAGTGGCAAGGGAAAGAGTATCTATGTCCATCCACAGTTGGAGGGAGCAGCTGATGTTCTGGACAAACTTAGGGCTGGACAATGAAACTTGGAGTAAGATCTCTCAAAAGTTCTCAAAAATGAGAAGCACTATCACAGCAATGGATCTAAGGGCAAGTAACTCTTTGGAACATGAAAAAACCTCACAGGGAAATGCTCTCAGAGGGGGGAAAAATCAAAGTTCATTGCAAGAGCCAGCCTGAGAAGTTGGGGCTGTTCCAAACAATTCCTCATGATGGGGTGTTTGGAAGAGGACCTTGGAGGCCGGACTGACAGTTTTGGTCCCCTAACAAGGATCCAACCAGAACCTTTGGGCTTCTATGATCAGCCCAACCTGTCATGTCACGATGGCTCCCAGGGAGTACTCTACTAAAGCAGAGCTCACTTACTTTATCCATTGTTCCCAGATTCCTAACACAAGACTTGCTTCCCAATACCTCTGACAGAGGCTGTTCCACACCCAGGCAGAATGTGTCTTTAAACAGCAAGCGCCATTGAGGAATGCCCACAGGAGGACTCATACTTCCACTCGATTTGGTGAGGAAGCAGGGACATGAGTGTTGATAGCCTAGTCTCAAGGCTTGCTGGAGTTGATGGCCTATGAAGAAACTCCTCTCCTGTGGAAGCTGATTAAAGGCAGGATAAAGGAGATCTGCAAGCTGAGAAGCCTTAGCCTTACCTTAGTTTAGAAGATATCCTGACAAAATTTTAAGAAAGTAGAACAGGGCACCTGGGTGGCTCCGTCATTGAGCATCTGCCTTTGGGCTCCCTCCTTGGCGGGAAGCCTGCTTCTCCTTCTCCCACTCCCCCCGCTTGTGTTCCCTCTCTTCGCTGTGTCTCTCTGTCAAATAAATAAATAAAATCTTAAAAAAAAAAGTAGAACAGAAATTCCAATTAGATGTCCAGAAATAGTTTCTCTTTAAAGTCTCCACCCCCTACATACCCCAGCAAAACCAAACATCCTATAAATAAAAGTGTAATAGCAAGAGCAGAGTAGGAGGAGGAAAGTAAGAGGTCGTATTAAGCCTGTTTCAAAAAGGAGGACATGATTAACAGTATCAAACGCTGAAGAGAGGTCAAGTAAGGTGATGTCTCCATGTCTTTTGGATCTAAGAAGGTAGAGGTCAATTTTGGTAGTAATAGGGTGATAATTTCAGAAGCCAGGAAAGAGAGTATGCCTGTGGTCTTCAAACATTTTTCCTGGTGTACCACCTATAATAATGTCAAAAACCCATTACCTCCGTTTTAGAGATGACATGTAAAAGTTTTGTTAATAACCGAATAGTTGCAAAGAATATAACTTTATTAGGAATTCTGACATTTTAAAATAAAATTATTACATCTTTTAAAAAATGTACTCAATGGAATATAAATACCAGAGTAATTAGAAACCTACAATCATCCATTAAAAAATATACAAACTATCCTCCAAAAATGTTGTACCAACAGTATAGGAAAGTGTTCTTTCTCCAATATGCTGACACTGAATATTATTAATTTTCAAAAATTTTGCAGATCTGATAGGTGATCTGTTTTCCTTTGCATTTGCCTGATGAGTAATGAAGCTACACATAATTTCAAATGTTTATTGGCTATTTTTGTTTCTTCAGTGTAATATCTATTCATATATTTTGTCCACTCTTCTATTAGGTTGTCTTCCTATCAATTTGTAGGATTCTTTGTATATTAGGAATGTAAATTTTTTTTATTATGTAGGTTGCAAATATTTTCTTAGTTTTAAATTTTTATTTATGAAGGCAACACTTTAAGTATTTATTTATTTATTTAAGTAATCTCTACACCCAGTGTGGGGCTCAAACTAATGACCCTGGGATCAAGAGTTGCACAGTCCTCCTACCGAGCCAGTCAGGCATCCCTGAAGGCAACACTTTAAATGGGAAGTTCTCTCTCTGGTGCCTGGGTGGCTCAGTCGGCTAAGGCTCAGCTCATGATCTCAGGATCCTGGGATCAAGTCTCACATCCAGCTCTCTGCTCAGCAAGGAGTTGGCTTCTCCCTCTCACTCTCCCTTTGTGCGCTCTCTCTCTCAAATAAATAAATAAAATCTTTAAGAAAAATAAATGAGAAGTTCTCTAACTTGAACTTTGCCTAGATTTTAACTTTCTTGGTGATGGAGGGTTGACTCTGGTGATCTTCACTTCTTGACTTAAAAGGTCAGACTGAGATGGAGGCTCATTTTAAAAGGCTTGCTGGAGGAAAGGTGGGAAGCAGTAAGCCCTTCAGAAGACAACTAAATAACATGTATATATTTATATTTATATATATCCACACACACCATACTGCATATACTGCTATCGCTCTAAATGTATATATTGTATCTACTGCTTTAAAAAAAAAAGGCTTGCAATGTTCAGGTGAATCTGGAAGATATTTGGATCTTATGACAATTATGCCAATTAGAATATTTTACATACAAAGATGCAAACAATAGGGCAGAATATAGATTTTGAAAATTTAATACGGAAGCACCAAGAACATCTAACAATGTATTTTCTTTAATGAATGAGCAAATCTAAATCATTTTGTTACTAGATTTTCATCAAAAACAAAGGAATGTGGCACAGAACACTATCCTTTCTTTCAAAAAAACCTCAGACGAGTTTGTCCATCAACTCTACCAGGGACTTTTTCATACACTAGACGCCGTTTTTTGAATTGTGGTAGTTGTGAGCACATGAAATCTGTTAAAAGAAGAAAAAGGAAAACCATTTTATTTCTGAGAGTAATAAAATATAGCTATTTTTTCCAGCTATTCTGGTGCATCCTATCTCTTCATCTATCTACAAAGTGTTAACATTTACAAACTGAGATAAAATGATAATGAGATAAATGCACCTCTACCTAATGGCTCAATACTAATTAGTGTCATGTACACATATTTGTATGCTCATGCTTTGCACAAATAATTAAATCTCCCTAGATTTAAGACTCTTTCATTTAAGTTTTCCTTCATTATCTCCTATCTGTAATGTGGAATTTATCCTGAGCTCTGATATATGATAGGTGGTGATCATGTATGGACTCACCTTCTATGACTGTATTAATATATGACACATTAGCCTGAAATATCCTAGATTTGGATTCTTATAGAGGTTAATTAATTAAATCAGTGAAAAAGGAAGCTAAAGTATTTAAAAATGTTTTAGTAATTATTCCTGGGAATATAATCTCATAATTATAAGAGTTGGATGCCATTATAAGCAAATTTAAAAAGCAGTATGGTAGGTAATTTTTATCATAGAGATCACAAATACACATCTATAAGACAAATGGAATATTATCTTGAGATTATACCAATGGCTTTGGATAAATTGTCTAGGCCTGCATTAATATGAATTCTAAAAGTGTTATATCTTAAACAATGAAGGTAATGATGTGCTTTGGGAAAGCACAGTAAAAAAGTCAAAAGTTTCCATAGTGATAATGATACTAGTATCAAAGATTCATGTGAACTGTTTGAATAAAATTATTTTATGGAAGAAGTTTGAAAGTGGAAAAAAGCAATATTTCTAAATGAACATTATTTATCCAATCTATGATTTAAAAATATATTTACACTTAATTAAAATGTAAATACACATTTGACTATTCCATCCCTACCCCCAAAAGCCTAAATATTAAAAGTTATTAGAAATAATTTCTGAGATCTTCTCAGAGGATTATCATATATTGGGATGCCCTATGTTCAAGAACATATAGTAATTCCCATGCTTGATTTGGTTCAAGATGGAAAAAAAAATGGAATTTTTAATTCAGTTCATTTATGAAGCTGGAATAAACTTCATGTCAAAATGTGACAGAGCACAAGTAAAGAACACAATAGATTAATTGCATTATGAATATAGATATGAAAATCATAAATATTAGTAACCATATTCAACAGCAAATTAAAAGAATCACTCTTCAAAAGCCAATTAAGTTTATTATGGAATAATAAGAGTGATTTAATATTAGTAAACCTGTTACTATAATCCTCGACACCAATGGATCAATGGAGAAAACATGTTTGATTTTCCCCAATAGGCGCCAAAAAAAATGTGGATAAAATTTGGCATCTATTCCTCACAAATGTTCTTACAAAACTAGATAGAATACTTCCCGTTAAGATCAGGAACAAAACAAATTATGACTATTAAGTAGGACCAAACCCAAGTTTTGTGAGTCCTGGGGTTTATACAGTTGATCCTTGAACGATGAGGGTGTTAGGGATGCCAACTCTCTCCCCTTACTCAAAAATCTATATATAACTTTTTTTTAAACATAATCTCTGCATCCAACATGGGGCTCAAACTCATGACCCTGAGATCAAGAGTCACATGCTGAGTGAGCCAGCCAGGCACCCCAAAGTTCTATATATAACTTTTGATTTCTCTACTACTTAACTACTAAGAGCCTACTGTGGACTGGAAGCCTTACTGATAACATACATAGTCAATTAACACATATTTTGTATGTTATATGTACTATATACTGTATTCTTACAAAGAAGTAAGCTAGAAAAAAAATATTAAGAAATCATAAGAGAGGGGGGATGGGTTAGCCTGGTGATGGGTATTGAGGAGGGCACGTTTTGCATGGTGCACTGGGTGTTATGAACAAACAATGAATCATGGAACACTGCATCAAAAACTAATGATGTAATATATGGTGATTAACATAACAATAAAAAAAATTAAAAAAAAAAAAAGAAATCATAAGAGAAAATACATTTATAGTACCATATTGTATTTATCAAAAACTCTGTGTGTAAGTGGACGATGCAGTTCAAACCTGTGTTGTTCAAGGGTCAACTGTACAGGTTGGGAGGTCCTCTTTTATTTTATTTTATTCTTTATTTTTTATTTTTATTTATTATTATTTAATCCCAGTATACTTAACATACAGTGTTATATTAGTTTCAGGTGTACGATATAGTGATTCAACAAATCTATATATTACTCAGTGCTCGTCATGGCGAGTGCACTCTTTAGTTCCCATCCCCTATTTCACCCATCCCCCACCCACCTCCTCTCTGGTGACCATCAGTTTGTTCTCTATAGTTAAGGGTATGTTTCTTGGTTTGTCTCTTTTTTTCTTTGTTCATTTGTTTTGTTTCTTACATTCCACATATGGGGGAGATTATATGGTATTTGGGGAGGTCATTCTTTTAACAAAACAAAGAATACAAGATTTTCTGGGAGCCTCTCAAGCCTCACAAAAGGGCCTATGCAAAAAAGGAGCTTTGAAGCTTAAGCTTCTCCCATTTTTATTATTTTTTTCCCCTATCATGGTAAGGCTACATTTGTATGGCCATTAGAACTTAATATTTTGTTCTAGATGTTCAAGAAATGACATAGAAAATAAAGGTACAAGAGGTACCATTACCAGAAAAAAAATAAAATTGTCCTTTTAAAAACTGGTATGATTAAATGTTCAGAAACATCAATTGTAAAGTAGAGCTAACAGTAATATCTGTTTAATATCTACTTAATAGGATTGTCAGAATTCAATAATCCACATAAAGGGCCTAAAAGGGCACCTACAATAAGCTCTTAATAAATGTTAGCCTATTAAATATTCCTGCCCAACAAAGAAGTTAGTTCTTCTAATTCACTGATTTCTCTGTTTAATCTTTGCTAATTTTAGTCTTCAGCTTTACTTAGACTTGTTCTGAGGTTTTATTTTTAACTTCTTAAGTTGAATGCTTAGTTCATCTAAAGCTACAAGAATTTGACATATTTTGTTTGCATTTATTTTCTTAGATGTCTATAATTAGAATTTTGATTTTCTTTTTGACTCCAAAGTTATTGAAGATTCTTTAAGTACAGTAATTAAAACAAACTTTTTTTTTAAATTTAGAGATGGTTCTGTCTTTTAAAATTACATCTGCAAGGGGTGCCTGGCTGGCTCATGTTGGAAGGGCATGTGACTCTTGATCTTGGGGTCACGAGTTTGAGCCCCATACTGGGTGCAGAGATTGTTAAAAGAATAAATAAACTTAAAAAAATTACACCTGTGAGTAGTTTTATTAACGCTAGATAGTGTTACCTGGTAATGATTTCTTGTCTCCTGAGTTAGATGAGGATTCAGCGTGCCTTTTCTGTCCTAAACATTTTCCAGCTCTTTGGTGGAAATAAAGACTGCTGAATTCTTTTTGATTTACATTAGGATCAGAAGCACAAAATAAATCCAAACTGGGTACAGATGGTAATTCTTTCCAGGAAGTCTTTTTAGTCCCAGCATTTGAACTTTCACATAGGAAGCCTTCTAACTCATCTGATAGATATTTTTGCTGATTAGTGAATAAATTATCTTTCTGAGAGTACCATTTGTCACATGTAGTCTGCTCTGCACCACATTCTAAGTTGAATGAGTGATTCTGTTGTTCCCATACATTTTTCTTAAAGTTCCAGGGAAGAGGAGATTGGGATCCTTCTAGTGAAAAGCCAGGGGCAGACAATTCTTTATTTATAGGTCCTTTTGCATCATGTGTTCCCTTTTTCTGGTAATTTATAAAATTAGGGGCAACTCTCTTCTGAGTGTCAATTGGTGACACTATGTTTTCGCAGTTCATTTGTGTTAGATCCAAATAAAAGACATCTGACTCTGAATCATTTTGGTTTCGAAAGCAGTTACCAGCCACATTTCTTGATTCTGTATTAATCAGGAAAGGATTGTGCACTGTGTTAGGGTTACAACTGGAGTCCTTCCAGTAGCTGGCCTGATTGTAAGAAGTCACAGGTGGTAAAATGCATGGCATTTCTCTTAGTTCCATAAGGGAAGAGTTATAGTTTGAAGTGCTGTTTGTATCTCTGTGCATTGTCTCTCCTATATCTGAATAGTGGTAATATTCATTATGTTCTTGAAAGACAGAGTTTGAAGAGCCAGAAGCTGAACTCTGGAAGGTAAAGGTACTAGTCTGATTCCCATTTTCCTGAGGTGATGGACTTGGAGGTGAATTTGTTATGGAAGAAGAACTAATCTTGAATAAGGAAGTGATGCTACAAAAATGCTAAAAAAATTTAAAAATTAATTACTATAATACAAATACAATATAAACATCAGTCAAGTAATATAAACAAATAAAATATAAACATCAGTCAAGTAAATATAAATAACAATGCTTATCTATATGTAAAGAAAGGAAAATATAAATAAGTAGGGTATTATAGTGATCCATGTCATAAGAAACATAATTAGGCTCCATTAAAAGAAAAACTTATTATAAAATCCATTTTCTAATCACTTGTAATAGAATTTTTAGTTACACAAGTTATACATGTATACCATCTGCTTGATAAAAATGTAAAATTTTTACCAATAAGGCTAAAGTTTTCTTTATTATTATAAGGAAGGGCACGAGGATTGTAAGCACATATGAATAGAGTGTGTGATCACATACTTGTGGGCCCAATAACATTTCAAAATAATTTGAAGTGTGATAAGCTGACTGTACTGAATTATCTATACAAGACAGCTTTAAAATGTATAATGTGATTGACATCTAATGAGAGTTCTATGTGAAATTTAGTTCAAGTAAATTATTTCTTTGGTACACAAAGTCCAGAACAATTAAACTTGGATACTTTCTCTTGAAAACTGTCATGGTAAAAATCAGTACTCAAATGGAAAGGAAATAAATTCATGTAAGACTATGGAGTTCAAATAACTAACCTTTAACACTTTTTCTGGAACTTCAGGTAAAAGCTCCTGAAGTTGACACAGAGTTGCTAATAATATCCAGTGCAGTGAAGGTCCTTTGTTTAACATGAGCTGAGCCACCAATGGGTTAATACATGGAAAGTCAAGTAAGTACATTTCTTCCTAGAAAAGAGTTTAAAGGAATAATCAGCCACTGGTCCTTTGAAAATGATCCATTTTATTCTGCTCAATCTAGCAGATTAAAATTTTTGTCATTGTATCTATCACCCAATTTGAGATGCCTGGAAAAAAGTATGGCTAGTAGGGAAAGGAACTTCTTTGGCAGTTAAGATTCATATGCTCTCAGAATTGAGAAAAATCTTAAAGTTCATTCATTTTAATCACTCATCCAAAAATTTTTGTTCTAGTTCGTCTCCTTCGAATGACAACTGTTTTACCTAATGGCAGATTTTCTAATGAGAAACGTTTTAGGGGACTTTTATAACTCAAAATTTCTTTAGCTCTCCCTTATACTACTATCACTATTTGATTAAGATGAACCATGTTTATGAGAAACCATGTTTATGATACTTCCAGGAAAGCCTTGCTGTGAAGAGTATAGGAAGAACTTCTATTGAACAGAACTGACCTTGTTGGTCTAAAAATGTGTGTTTTCAGAGAGATCTCATAAAAGTCTAGAAATACAGCAGCCATGTTTTACTATTACTCTATTTCCTTTTCTTTCTGGGTTACGCTGGCTTTTTGCACCCTCTTTGATTTTATCAAATGACAGACACGTGAGTAGATTAGACATGCCTTGCTAAGAGGGAAACTGCACAGACATACATACATCCCATAATGAGTTATACCCATACTTGCCAAGAGTACTATGTTCTGTTTAGGCATACAAAAATTCTGTGATTTAATATATATGAATATATGAATGTTTGATGAATGTATAGGAATACATTAATAATTAATTTATTTGCTTTATAATTTTATTTTTTAAATAGGTAAAATAGTCACATGGTTCAAAATTCAAAAGGTACTAAAAGGTGTGCAGTAAAAACTCTCATCCTCACCCCATTATCCCGGTTCTCCTCTCTGGAGGTAACTAATGTTATCATTTCTTGGTACCCTTCTAGGGATGTTTTATTCATTTACAAACACATATAAATATTAATTTCCCCCTGTTTTACACAAGTGGTAGTACACAAGCTCTATGCTGCAACTTCATTTTTCATGTAATATATCTGAAAGAACTTTCCATGTTAGCTTCATTATTCTTTTTTTATGTTTTCATGATTTGAATATATTAAAAAAATAAAGGTAACAGAGATACTAGGTTGGTATGAGAACTTGGAGAGATTGATGCTTAAACAAAAGGAATTTCTAAAAATTAACTGTGCAATCTCACAAATATGTTACAACTCTACTTTCAGTTTCAATTATGTAACTGAATTACTGACAAAATGGAATGATGGAATTTTGCTCTTCTCATATTTACTACTCTTAAATGTTTAAATTTAGGAACTAGAAAAACAGTTATGTTTTGAAAATATTAGGCACTGAAGTCATTATATCACCTAATACACTTGATTTGAAAGTTCATTATAAAAGATCTCATTAAAATACTTCTGTGAAGTTGATGATTCTGGAAAATGATCTAAATAAATATTGTACATTTTGGTTACTGCTATATATGCTCATGCAAACATTATAGGACAAAAAAAAATGTTACCAAAAAGAGAATTCAAACACATGTATTTATATTTGCTTTGCAAATACCTAATTTACATATTTAGGAAATGAACCTTAGATGGTGAAACTTCAAGCCAGGATTTATCCAACCATTCATGAGGTTCTCTCTTTGAAGTCATTAAATTGTGATCAGCAATTTGCCGAATTATCAGTGCAGCCTCTTCCACTCCTGGGGCAATTACAAGCTAAAATATATTTTTTATATGTTAGAATATAGGAAATTTTAGGAAGCAAAATATATCATTCAAAAATTATTTGTAATTAGAAGAAAAAACCCCCAGCAGATTTTAATCTTTGAAAATAATTTTAGATATAATTTATTAAAATGTCTATGTGAAACCCAGCATATTTTATTTGGGAGGATAAGCAATTTTCTTTTCTTCTTTAAATATGATATCCTTATAGTTTTCCAATTTTTGGAGCTAAATTTCTTCACTTCCATTTTGTATTTACTAATAAATTTATTTGTAATTTGGATGTCATTAATATTTAATATTTTGGTTTTTTCCAAGTTAAATTTAGTAGTTCTCAAAAATAAGAATTTAAGGGGTGCCTGGTGGCTCTGTCGGTTAGCCGTTTTTGCCTTCAGCTCAGGTCATGATCCTGGGTCCTGGGATCAAGTTGGGCATTGGCCTCCTTGATCCATGGGGAGCCTGCTTCTCCCTCTCCCTCTGCCTGCCGCTCCCCCCTGCTTGTGCTAGTTCTCTCTCTCTGTCAAATAAATAAATAAAATCTTCAAAAAAAAATAAGAATTTAAAAATATACTGCAAGATTTTTCAAAATGACATTAAAAGATAAAGGATATTTACAGATGAATTTGATGCTGTATTTAAAAAGAAAAAAGTTTTTTTTTAAGATTTATTTATTTATTTGACAGCGAGATAGAAAGAGATAGCACAAGTAGGCAGAGCGGCAGGCAGAGGGAGAGGGAGAAGCAGACTCTCCACTGAGCAGGGAGCCCGACGCGGGGCTTGATCCCAGGACCCTGGGATCATGACCTGAGCCGAAGGCAGCTGCTTAACCGACTGAGCCACCCAGGCGCCCCAGTTTGTTTTTTTTTTTAAGATTTTATTTATTTGACAGAGAGGGAGCACAAGAGGGGGAACAGCAGGCAGAGGGAGAGGGAAAAGCAGGCTCCCTGCCCCGCAGGGCTCTACCCCAGGACCCTGGGATCATGACCTGAGCTGAAGGCAGACGCTTAACCAACTGAGCCACCCAGGCATCCCCAAAAAGAAAAAAGTTTTGATTTAGAATATTTTGGGAATTGTTCATCCAATACTGGCTTATCTGATGCTAAACTGTGTGTGTTAAACTTAACTCTAAAAAAAGTTTCTTAATATCTCCTACTTCCTGTCAGTTGTGTTTTCCTTCTCTCTTTTGAAATGTCAGTCTTTTTCTTCTTTCAGTTCTATTTTTATCTTCTTCATCTTTTAGATTCAGTATTCCTTCGAAATATAGTCCATGTGGTTAGAAGGGTTTTTGCTTGTTTGTTTTTTTAAGATTTATTTATTTATTTTAGAGAGAGAGGGGAGTGGGGAAGGAACAGAGGGAGAGGGAGAGAGAGTCCTAAGCAGACTCCGTGCTAAGCGAGGAGCCCGAAAGGGGGCTCAATCTCAAGATCCCGAGATAATGAGTGGAGCCCAAACCAAGAGTCAGTGGCTCAACCAACTGCACCATCCAGGCACCCCAGTCCATGGATTAGCAGTTTAATGTGAATAGGGAACACTGTCCTAAAAAATCATCTTAGAAATATAAACATCCTGTCCTGTAGTGAAAATTCAAGAAACAAAGACTGTATAAACCTCATAAAATAATTATGACAATTTTTTCTTTCACAAGATAACAAATACACAACTGTTAGTACATACCTGGGGAGTACATGTATTCTAAAGGAGGATTTTCTTTAAATTATATTAAATATATACAAAAAAATTTTTTTGAGAGAGAGAGTGAGCAGTAGGGGGGAGGGGCAGAGTGAGAGGTAAAGAGAGACCTTTAAGAAGGCTCCATCCCCAGTGGAGTGGGGAGCCTGACTAGGGCTCAACTCAGGCTCAATCTCAGGACCCTGAGATCATGACCTGAGCTGAAATCAAGTCAGTTGCCTGACTGACTGAGTCACCCAGGCACCCCAAATATGTATAGAGTGCACAGAAATAACACTGTTTGATTCCAAATTAATTTTATTGCAGTTTTGGATGTTTTAAGAAGATCTGACAGTTTTATTTAAATATAAAACGGCACAATTTTATGATGATGGTAATGAATATTACCTTAATTTATTGGGGCAAGCATTCTGGAGCTCATGGCTAGATTTGGGGAGATTCAGGAACCCCCTAGCATTATTTTCAAAATTTTGCATATATGTTTATCTATGCATTTTTCCACAAAAGGAGTTTATAAAAAATTTATAGAACTTTTTTTGACGTTAGAATAAAATATAGCATAACACTACTAGCAGTATTTTCTTTTAGTTTAAGAAAATGTACTTGGGCGCCTGGGTGGCTCAGTTGGTTAAGTGACTGCCTTCGGCTCAAGTCATGATCCTGGAGTCCTGGGATCGAGTCCCGCATCGGGCTTCTGCTCCTCCCTCTGACCCTCCCCCCTCTCATGCTCTCTCTCTATCTCTCATTCTTCTCTCAAATAAATAAATAAAATCTTTAAAAAAAAAGAAAATGTACTTAAATTTCCTAATGCTTCCTTTATGGCTAGGCTGTTCAGATACCTGAAAAAATTTTTTAAAAAATCCATACTGATGGGCTCTAACAGGCCAAAAGCCATATTACTAAATATAGTAAAGTAAAGCAACAGTATACTTTAAGATAATATGAGTCTAGGGAACCCCCTTTAATGTGGTAATGTCATCAAGTCAGGAGACTAGGAGGCTTGAGTACTGGTGACATACTGATAATAGAGCAAACTGATAATTGTTTCTCAAATTCTACGGAAAAACTGACCTACTTTTAAGATTATTATGTATAACTTGAAAGACTTTTGGAATCGTTTGATCCGGGTGGGAGTAGACTTTTGTTTGGAATGGATTGTGCCTGGGCATACTTCCTGTGTCATCCCTAAATGCCTTCCTTGGAACATGTCCTCTATGGGCCATATCACTGTACCTGAATATAGTATTGCTCACTAATATCACATAACCCATGTATAGAGGAATAAAATGATTCTCTGAAGTATATTTTGCATATAACTGCTTACCATTAGCTGAAAAGAGGCTGGTTAAGTGGTGAAACCACACTTGAATGGGTAAAGGAAATAAACTTAATTTGCCATTCATTGGTAACTTTTCTAAGAATTTTATTTCAATGCTTAATAGGCCTCACAGGATCAAAATGATCAGGATTCTATTTCAAATAGATCATTTGTTAATTTTCTTAACAGGTGTGCTTTGATTTAATTCTATTCAGTAGATGTTTGTTGAACATTTTTACTGTGTACAAAGCCCTGTGCTGGATGCTACACATTTTTCAAAGAAACAGGGTCTGGTTCTTACCCGCCTCCGGCATGGAAGGTATATGAATGAATACGTCATGCTACAATAAAGGTATGAAGTGCTCTTGCGAGAATGGGAGGAGAGATTTATCCTGAGGGCATACTTGGGGCACATTTCTTAAAGGAGGTAGTGTTTGAGCTGGGCAACAAACAAAAGACAGAACTCTAAAAGCTAGCAGTAAGAGAAAGTGGGAGACAGGCTGGGATGACATGTTTGTGCATTGGCTGAACTGTGATAGAGTGGACATATTCAGGAAATGGTGAGTAGAATGATGTTAAAGGAAGAATTACTAGGGGCCAAATCATGAAGTTGGAATCCAGCTGAGTTTGATCTCTTTTGAATGAAGTAGGAAGCTATGGAAGGTCTGTTGAGCAAGAAAATTCAATTTAACAACACATATTTATCAAGAGTCTACTATATACTTGGCGCTGTGCTGGATACCAGGAATCTGAAAACAAACATGTTTCCTTTCTTTCAGGAGCTTACAGTTCAGGAAGTGAAATGTTCACAGCTATATTTCAGAAATGTAATTGGTGTGAATCTATATTATGCACCAAAGGAGGACGACTAGAAATAAGATTAGTCAGGAAGTTGTTTTAAAACTCCAAAAGAGAGGTGAAGGCCTGAATTTGGGAAAAAGCAGTGGGAGTAGAATGGAGAGACATATTCTAGAGACTCTGCAGCTACTGATTAGGTTACAGTAGTAATGCCATAAACTAAGTGTGGGGAGGATGAGAAGTTGTGTTTTAGACATACAGAGTTTGAGGCACCTGTGGGATATTCGTGTGGAGATTTCCAGTAGAATGCTAGAATTATAGGTGCAGATCTTAAGAAAAGTCAGGAAAATTTTAAAGATTATACTCAGAAATGAAAGCCAAATTTGTGGGAATTCTGAATTTATTTTTTTAAAAGATTTATTTATTTATTTATTTGACAGAGAGAGAGATAGTGAGAGAGGGAACACAAGCAGGGGGAGTGGGAAAGGGAGAAGCAGGCTTCCCATGGAGAAGGGAGCCTGATGCGGGGCTCGATCCCAGGGCCCTGGGATCATGACCTGAGCCGAAGGCAGACACTTAACGACTGAGCCACCCAGGTGCCCCGGGGAATTCTGAATTTATTAAGGAAAAAGTATAAAGTGGTAACAGAAGAGGACTGAGCTCTGAATTTGGAGGAGTGTCTAAATTTCATAATAGGACATTGAAAAAAGAACCAAGAAAGGACACTGGTTAGAGATCACTACAGCAGATAAAAAGAGTGTATGTTTCTTAAGTGATGATTTTTGATCAATGGATATTTACTTTTATTCATATCCTGCCATATAGTAATTAAGAGATAAAATATGACTTTAAATTTATTAAAGGCTTTTAATTTTTCTTAAATTTATTTATTTGAGAGAGAGAGAGAGCACAAGCAGCAACAGAGGGAGAGGGAGAAGCAGGCTCCCCACTGAGCCGGGAGCCTGATACAGGGCTCAAGCCCAGGACCCCGGGATCATAACCTGAGCCAAAGGCAGACACTTAACCAACTGAGCCACCCAGGCACCTTTTTTTTTTTTTAATGTTTTATTTATTTATTCATGAGAGTCAGAGAGAGAGAGGCAGAGGCAGAGGGAGAAGCAGGCTCCCTGCCTAGCAGGAAGCCTGATGCAGGGCTCGATCCCAGGACCCTGGGATCATGACCTGAGCCGAAGGCAGACGCTTAACCATCTGAGCCACCCAGGCACCTTTCTTTTATTTTTTATTTTTATTATTTTTTAAAGATTTTATTTATGTATTTGACACAGGGAGAGAGCGCACAAGCAGGGGGAGCGGCAGACGGAGAGGGAGAAGCAGGCTCCCCACTGAGCAAGGAGCCAGACACAGGGCCTGATCCCAGGACCCCCAGATCATGAGCACAGCCAAAGGCAGATTCTCCACCAGCTGAGCCACCCAGGTGCCCCAAGGCACCCCTTCTTTTAGAACAGAAGTTGAAGTGGAAAGGATATTTATTAATTAGAAAATGTTCTTTATTTAAAAGGCTTTTAAGCATTTTTTAGTTTACTAATTTAATGTTTCTTTGCACTGGGCACTTGAGTTTGAGTATAATTTTGGTTTATGAAAATACTTATAAACAAACATTTAAGAAAAGAATACCTTTACATCCAGTTCTTCTGATTTTAGCCCAAAAGATAACAAAGCTGCATAAATCAGTGCTAGATGATGAAGTGTTTTTTCTGTAAGATGGTACCTAAAAAAAAATTATATTATTATACTGTACTCATTTGATATCTGATTGTACCTATCAGAAGTTCATTTCATTTTCCACATTTCATGTTATGAGAATAATCTGGCTAAGATAAAGCTGTGTGGCAGACTCAGCACTCTTTTAAGAAGATGGTTCCACCTCCATTCTTTAACAATCCAGTTGAATCTAGGGGATGCTGAGAGTGTGTTTGAGGGGAGAAGTTTAACTCATCCCCTTACTGGCTCCAGGGATGGCTCTCTAACTGATCCAACTAAAATACTCTATCCCCTGGCCAAAGTAACAAGTTCAGATATGAACATGTGACCAGAGCCAGGATAACTAGAATCCTCCCTGTGTCTTTTTCTTGAACTGTCAGAAAAAACACTTTTTTTTTTTTTTAAAGATTTTATTTATTTATTCATGAGAGAGAGAGAGAGAGGTAGAGGGAGAAGCAGGCTCCCAAGGAGCAGGGAGCCCGATACGGGACTCGATCCCAGGACTCTGGGATCATGACCTGAGCTGAAGGCAGACGCTTAACCATCTGAGCCACCCAGGCGACCAGAAAAAACACTTTTTACAATGATCATTATGTAATGTGATAGAGGTGTTAGCTAACCTTACAGTGGTAATCATACTGCAATATATAAATGTATCAAATCAGCATGTTGTAGACCTTAAACTTACAAAATCTTGTATGTCAATTATATCTTAATTAAAAAAACACTCTTTTTTTCCCCCTATGGTAATTAAGCAGATCAGATGTGAGTCTTGAGCTATGGGTATATACTTCTACTGCCTTTATCCACTTTAAGTACCCTAAGCAGAAAAAAGGAAATGGCTCATATTACTAAGAAGTCCAGGAGAGGACTTTATTGGATCCAGGGACTCAAACCATATCATTGATTTTAGTATATGTGCTGCCGAAGCGAGCACTCAAACCATATCATTGAGACAAGGGCTCCTTAATTTCTTGGCTCTCCTTTCCCTTGCTAGTTTTTTTCTCAGGCAAGCTTTTTCCGTAAGAGTGGCTAACAAGAGTGGCTTACTGTGCCTACACTGCTTGTATAAACAATGTGGTTTCTGCTGAACACCTTTTCTTCTTGGGAGTCTAGAATTTTGATATGTGCTAGGCAGAGGGTGCCTACATAGCCAATCCTTACTGAAAGCCCTGGGCATTGAGTCTCTAGTGAGTTTCCCTCGTACACAACATTTTAACAAGTGTTGTCACAACTCTTTCCTGTGGAAATTAAGCACATTCCGTGTGATTCTACTAGGAGAAGATCCCTGGAAGCTTCCTTCTAGCTTCCTCTGGATTTTGTTCCATGCACTTTTTCCCTTTGCTGATTTTGCTTGGTAACCATTTACTATAATAAATCATAATCATGAGTACAAGTATATGCCGAGTCCAGTGAATCCTCTTATCAAATCATCAAACCTGGGGGTAGTCTTGGGGACTCCTAACACATTTTCTTGAACAGGAACTAAGGTAATTCAAGCAATTTTATTTTGTATGTTGAATTTTCCTCATTTGGTCAGTTGATTAAGAGACTTCTTAAATGTTTTATACATCTAAAAGTATAGAACTGAGATACCTAGAAGTCTGAAAATAACTACATTTTATAATAATATCTTATTGTGAATAATTAACTCTTCATATCCTGAACATAAAACTGTCTCAGACTATTACATAATTGGTTTTTTTTTTCATGAAAATCTGGGTAAAAATAAGTGTGAATCCCTTCTCTTTTGCTGTACTTCAATTACACCTCTGGAACATAGGTGAATAGCAATCTAAAAACAACTTAAAATTTTTTTCCAAAACAAAACAAAACAAAAATTTTTTTTCCAAAACAGTTTTTATCTATGGGATACTTCCAAGATCTTGATAAAGCTTAAATGCTTTACAAGCAAGTTCCAAGCTTAAAATGCTATACAGCCTTTACTATATTCAAAATGAAGATTTTACACCTAAATTATTATTTTTATTTTTCAATTTTGGTAGAAAGGAAAAACAAGGTTAATGACTTGCTAGAGGTTATTGTTAATAGAAAAAGAAATAAGAACCAAGGTGTTTGGACTCTTAAATTTTAACTTATACTTATCCCACATATAATAATTGTATACAAAGAGCTTGGTACAGTAGGTAAACAAAAATGTAATCAAACTGGAAAGTCAGTAAAGAAAAAAATCACATATGCAATGTCAAATAAGGAAAGATCTCTATACCTTCTCTAATAACTAAATAATATATTTTTAAAGATTTTATTTATTTGAGAGAGTGAGAGAGAGCACAAGCGGGAGGAGGGGCAGAGGGAGAGGGAGAAGCAGACTCCAAGCTGAGAAGGGAGCCCGACGCAGGGCTCGATCCCAGGACCTCAGGATGGTGAGCTGAAGGAAGACACTTAACCAACTGAGCCACCCAAGGCACCCCAGACTATATATTTTAAGAACTTCTACTATGAGTGATTTGGTATGTGTTATGTGATACTGTAGAGATTTTTTTTTTTTAAAAAGGAGACCAGTTTGAAATTTAGTAGGAAAGATTCATTCATTCAATCAAGGAGTATTTACCAAGCATCTATCATACGAAACAATGTGCACTGCCTTGGGGCAAGTACTCCAAATGATAATACAAGGCAAAATGTGGTAAATATCAAAGATGAGGAAAGGATAGAGAGCTAAGGAGTTCAAAGGATGGAGAGGTCACAGTTAACTATTTGTGTGCATGAGATGGGGGTATTAAGGAAAGACAGAATAGAAAAAGTGATATTTGGGGATAGGTTTTGAAAAATAGGCATGATTTCACCAGATTAAATAGTTGGAGGAAATACAGAATATTGTAGAAAGAGAAAAATGTATCAGCAGAAGTAGAAGTGGCAAAGTAAGGACCATGTTTGTGAACCAGTGAGCAATCCTCTGGCTGAAATGAAAAACAGTGAAAATTAAGCCTGAAAATATAGGTCAGGATTATATTCTGAAGACTTTGAATATTAGGGTGAACAGTATGTATGTATTCAGTAGATAATAGGGAAGTCAGTAGGCTTTTTATTAGAGTGGAACAGTAAGAGCCTGGTTTTTGGAATATTAATCAAATGTATGACAGATTATGGAGAGTAACATGGAGAGCCATGAGGTGGGAAAACGGTAGTTAACAGTCCACATAAGATCTAAACTAAGATGTTGGTAATATAAATGGAGAGAGGGGATAGATAAAAAAGAGACTAGTGATTATATCCATAAGATATGTTTTTAATTTCAGTGACTAAAAGAAAGACAATGGTCATAAATAGTCAAAGGGCAGAAAAGAGGAGATACTGTTTTGGAGGGGATAGAGAATACAATGAATTCACCCTGGAACATGTTAAGTTTGAGAGCCTACAAAATATCAGGGTGGAAATATTTAATAGAAAATTAGAGATACCTGTCAGGAATTTCAAAGAGCGACTCCAGCTGCAGATATAATTATAATCATTATAGGCAGAAAGATGCTGATTGAAGCTATGGCAGTGAGTAAGGTTTCTAATGGATTGAATAGAAGAAAGGAAAGAATTCAGATGTATCTGGAGACTGGGACAAGGAAGAAGAAGAGGTAAAGAGAGAGAAAGAGTAGTTAGAAGATCAAAACTGTGAAGTGTCATGGGACTGAAGAGCTTCAAGTAAGGAAGCACTGACAACAGTCTTTAATACTTTAGAGCAGAGAAAGATAAAAATACTTTTGGAGGTGGAAGTGATCCTGAGAGACAGATTAGTACAGATGTAGGAGAAAAGCCAGACTGCAGAGAATAAAAAAAGGAGGTGAAAGCTGTGGGTTCATAAAATTTTAAGATGAAGGAAAGAAGGGACATATAATGATAATTTGAGCCAGTATCTTGGCATGGATTTTTTGTATTTTTTAAGTTAAGCACGTCAATGAAAGAAAGAATAGCAAGGTGCTATTTAGTTGGCAAATTTAAATAAGCTTTTAGAGAGAAGTGATTTAAGAATGGCATCTTTTAACAGACAAGTCCAGAACTAAAAAGTAATGAAAAGTGAAACACTTAAAGCAGCAACTCTTAGTGAACTAGAGGAGGATGATTTGCACAGAAAGCCCAGTGGAAATATATCATCTCCAAAATTCTGATTTGTTTTCCTATGGGCATGCCTCCATCTCGAAGATCCCTGACTCAAAGCAAACTAGATGAGCAAGTAGAAAAATTTTAACTACTTTTATTCAAAAATTTTGGCTACTTTTATTCAAAGAAGAGGACCAAATAAGGAATAGAAACATAACTTTGGATGAAGAAATGTTTACTTACTCTGAGTTTAATGTTTTTTTTGTATATAAGATTATCCAACAATAGCTGTACTGGAATGATAATGCCATCAGTCTCATAATGATATTGTCTGATGCCTTCTCACAATTCAATTCTTCTAGGTCCTACCAGAAAAAAAATAAAAAGATTCACTAGGTTGAATAGTTGTTATGAAATTATTACTACCATATTTTAATAATCTATTTTAGATTATATATATATTAATATATATATAACAACTTGAGAAGAGTCATGGGTATGGGCTTCCATTTTCTGGAAAAATTAAAATCACACTGGAAGTAATAGGGGAAAAGCTACAGTAGATATCAACCAGCAAATGATAGCTTCAGCAAGGAAGGCTCATGAATCTCCCAAAGTCCTAGATATGAAGAAAGCAGCCTATAGAGTGCCCCTATTTGGGCAAAGTCCTTTATAGACAGGAATTTGTCTACTTGTAAGGGCAATATAAAATATGTTTAAAAACTCATGGGATAATCTGCACTGAATGTTTATTTAAGGAAGATAATAAAGAAGCGATCAATGGACTTCCAGGAATTGCTCTCTAATAGTCTAGAATATTCTTTTCCCTTTAATGCAATTAAGTTTTTTTCAAAGTTACATTCTATTTTATTTTCTTCTATTTTATTTTACTTTAGAGAGAGAGCACATGCAAGTGGGGTTGGCTGGGGCAGAGGGAGAGGGAAAGAATCTTAGAGAATCTTAAGCAGGCTACATGGAGCCCGACTTGGGTCTACAATTAATTTTTGATAGAGTGAATGATTCAGGAAGTGTCTTACTCTAACAACAAGTTATATAACTATGAATTAAATTTAAAAGTCTCCCAAATGGTATTTCTCCCTAAATAATTGTTTTTTAAAAAAACTTTAGGGGCACCTAGGTGGCTCAGCCAGTTAAGCATCTGTCTTTGGCTCAGGTCATGATCCCAGGGTCCTGGGATAGGGCCCCACATCAGGCTCCCTGCTCAGCTGGGCACCTGCTTCTCCCTCTCCCTCTGCTGCTCCCCCTGCTTGTGCTCTCTCATTTGTGCATGCTCTCTCTCTCAAATAAATAAATAAAATCTTTTTAAAAAGCTTTAAATATGTAAGACATGGTAACTCTTAAGAAACCCTCTAACAGAGCTTTGTGTTTCCATTATATAATTCTTATACTGTTAACATTTGCTCACGATCGGACTTCTACCTTACCGTATTTGCTATTAATTTATATTCCATACCATTCAAACTAGTTTCTGCTCCCCACTTCCACCCTAGTGAATTAATTTCTTTGTAATTTGTACTCCAATTTTAGTATTTGTGCTGCCGAAGCAAGCACTGTAATTTGTACTCCAATCAAGCAAACTTATCAGGGAGATTCAGTCAAGAATTTGTACATTTAAATTTCAACTATAGGGATTTTTTTTTGAGAGAATTTTTCTTTTTTCTTGTTTTTTTAACTGGCTTACTTACAGGCAATCCCCACTTACCTCAGAGGAAATCCCATATTACTAATCATGGATTAAAATACTACCACCTTTTTTTTTAAAGATTTTATTTATTTATTTGAGAGAGAGAGAATGAGAGATAGAGAGCACAAGAGGGAAGAGGGTCAGAGGGAGAAGCAGACTCCTTGCTGAGCAGGGAGCCCGATGTGGGACTCCATCCTGGAACCCCAGGATCATGACCTGAGCCAAAGGCAGTCGCTTAACCAACTGAGCCACCCAGGCGCCCCAAAATACTACCACCTTTTAAGAAACATAGTGACTAAGATTTGATTTTTAAGGTTTTCAACACTGTGATTATTCTATAAATATATTTTAAAATAGGTCAATATTAACATTAAAGATTCCATACTTTGTCTTCTTAAAGTATGTTAAAAATTAAAGGCATTAAAGAAGCTTGGTAAAAGTCATTTTCCACAGTGATGATTTTAATACTTGTTATCTATTTGCAAAGTTTTGGAAGAAAACCCTAATGGGTTATAGTTAAGCTCTCTATAGTAAAGCTAATAATAAATTACATGGTTATATATATTGTACTATATTTAATTTATATATATTTTTAAAAATTTTATTTATTTATCTGAGAGAGAGAATGAGAGAGAGAGAGCACATGAGAGGGGGGAGAGTCAGAGGGAGAAGCAGACTCCCCGCCGAGCAGGGAGCCCGATGCGGGACTCGATCCCGGGACTCCAGGATCATGACCTGAGCCAAAGGCAGTCGCTTAACCAACTGAGCCACCCAGGCGCTCTATATTCTTTACTATATAATTTTACCTGCAAAATTATGGCAGTGTGTTCATCAACTGTCACCACCACATAACACTCTGTACGTCCAAAGAGTTTCAATGACTCACTGCAGCATCTCTCCACTAGTGTGATATTGTATCTGTAAAATACCATATTTTGGGGTGAGATAATGAAATGCTAAGAAAAATTCCTTAAGAAAAGCTGTATTGTCCTCCCGCATATTAAATTATTTGAACTACTGTGCTTTTTGTTTCATACATCAATTTATTCTACTTTATAAATTTGAGGAATGAAATTATGATTTATTCAGTATATATGACAAATTAGTTGAGATGTGCATTGCCTTAGGCATTTCACTTAGAACTTCGTAGTCCTATTTCCCATGCAATATTTAAAGCCCTCTAATTAAGAATACTCATTCTCAATATTATCAATGACCCAAAGATATGACTATAAAATTCGCAGGAAAAAAAAGATAGTGTTCATATTTGCTGGTAACAAGAGAAATGAAATTAAGATATAAATTTAGACACTAACGAAATATTTTTTCTTCACATGATTGATATATATTGCCAAAAAAGATAATATTCAGTAATTATGATAGTGTACTATAGGGAGAGAAGTGTAACTTGACATAAACTCTCTGGAAAACTTTCTATGTGATGTAATTGCACGCTTCAATCAGAGAGAAATATGCCACATATACAGCACAATGTTTAGCCATTTAGGATATATATACCTTTGCTAAAGTTATGAAATCAATAACTTACTTGGATTCTAGCAACTGAAGTATTTCTGGAGTATTAAGAAGTCCTTCAGATGCAAAAAACACATATGGAACCTGAATTTCCAAAAGAAATCCACCAAAACTATCCAGCAATGTGCTTCCTAAATAAGAGAAAGTTTATAAATATTTCTCTTTTTTCTTATCCTTCAGCTCTTTCTCTTTTTTACTAAACATGAGAAAAGCAAGTGTATGTTCAAGGAGTAGTACAAAAATAAAACATAGTCATTGTAAAAAATCAGAAATCAGAATAAAGTTCTGAAGAATAAAATAAAAACCATATGTTCTCCTACTACCTAAAAATAAAACAGCATTAACGGAGTTTACTAAAACTACTATGATACGTTAATAGGAAAATAATAAATACATCAATGGATAAATGGACAAAGAACATTAATAGGCAATTTACAAAAGAATGGCTATACAAGATCACATCTGAAAAGATATGGATAATCTAAGACATTATCTGTAATTAATTAACTATAATATAACTATAAAATATTTTATGCCTATAATTCTGTCAAAGATTTAAAAGAATAATAATACCTACTTACAGTAAAGATATTGGGGAAAGGATTCTCTTTACTTTCTGCACAAATACGAATTGAGATAGCATTTCTGGAAGGATATTTGGCAATATATAAATGTGTGTATACCTTTGACCCAGCAACTCATTTTACTTCTTCTAAGAACAAGTATATAAAAATAAATAAGACATATAAGCTACTAAAAATCTTATAGTAAATAGTAGAAAATTGAAGCATTGTAAATGCTCCGAATAAGGAATTGGTTGAATCAATTAAGTTCATCTTTTTTTTTTTTTTAAAGATTTTATTTATTTGTCAGAGACAGAGAGAGAGAGCACAAGCAGGAAGAGTGGTAGGCAGAGGGAGAAGCGGGAGCCAATTGCAGGACTTGATCCCAGGACTCTGGGATCATGACCTGAGCAGAAGGCAGCTGCTTAACCAACTGAGCCACGCAGGCGTCCCCAGTTAAGTTCATCTTTGACAGAATGGAAGAAGCCTCTACATATAAACTGAGATATTTATCTTTTATCTTTTGGGGGGCCCTTATTTAATCAATTTAACATTTAATTTCATATATCAAAGATTCCAAGGTAATCATTATGATGACTATATTTTTAGAATTGAATTGGAATATCTCAGAATTCAAAACTTCCCACTCAGACTTGAGATGGACAGAAAATAACTTAAGGCAAGTATTGAAAGGGATGCACTGGGACTAAAAGTGTACAGGCTTTTTAATTTAATGGATGTGAGAATTCACAACCTGAGTCATGTGAAGTGTTGCTGAGATATACAGAGAAACCGAATGATATACAAAGTGGTTTTAAATTCTTTTCGAAGTGTTTCTGTATAATTTTTTTTTGGCACATTAAGTTTTCTGAATCAGTCAACATACTACGAAAGAATTTTCCCCTAAAATTCAATAAAAAATACTACTGCATAGAAGTATCAGGTGAAGATTGGATATAATTGTAATAAATTGTGCTATTATAAGTAAAATTTAGAAGGTAAGGGGATGAAGATGAATATAACCAGTAAACCTTACTTTACAAACGAGGAATAAGAGGTAAGGGGTAAAGAACTGGCCCAAGGTCATATGGAGTGCTGAGGTTAGAGTTTGAACTCAAGTCCTCTAACGCCATTGCTCGTTCTCTTTCCACAGATCAGAAGCAGAAAACAATTTCCATTCTACTACAACAAAAGGATTTAGTTTATATCCTTACTCTTTAAAACTGTATCTGGAAGAATCACTTTGAAGACCTTGTGAGGAATATTCAATTTCTCGCAGTGTTTAGTCCAACAAGAGTTTTCTACAAAATTGTATTCCACCACAAATGAGAAGTTACTCCAGGGGAAATCTGCTCCAATATATTGATTATGTACAACTACACAGGAACTTGTACTGAAGACAAAATAAAGCCAAGAAAATAGAATTATATTTGTGTCATTATTTACTTGGAAGGCCAAAAGATGACTGTCTTTGGCTATTTTATTCTTCTCTAGTCTGTGCCGACTTATCTTGGAAAGGCACTGGTGTATTTTCTGTTGATTTGTTCTCCAATTGTGCTAATTCCTTTTTATCTTTCTTTTTGATGGTCATACATCTTTAAAAAAATTTTTAAAGATTTTTTAAAAAGATTTTATTTATTTATTCTAGAGAGAGAGCCAGCCCAAGTGGGGGAGGGGCAGAGGGAGAAGCAGGCTCCCCACTGAGCAGGGAGCCCTACGATGAGGGATGAGGACGATGATGATGATGACGATGACGATGTCGATGATGACAATGATGACGATAATGACGTGGGGCTTGATCCCAGGACCCTGGGATCATGACCTGAGCCAAAGGCAGATGTTTAACCGATTGAGCCATCCAGGTGCCCCTTTTAAGATTTTATTTTTAAGTAATCTCTACATCCAATGTGGGGCTCAAACTCACAACTCCGAGATCAAGAGTCGTGTGCTCTTCCAACTGAGCCAGCCAGGTACCCCTATGGTCATATATTTTTTAAAAAAACAGGATCTAAAAAACTGTGGACTACTTCACATTCTCAAATGCAAGGGACCCTAATTTTATTAACTGAGTCCTATCAATAACAGACAAGTCACTGTGAGAATTCATTTTCTTACACATGTGAGGTTTCATCTTTGAGGATCTACATAAGAGAATATTATCTGACAACTTTGAAATGATTTTTCCTTTTCTCAATGAGCTTCATAGGTGATTTAGCAACAACAAAAAACGGATACTTAAATATCATAAGTTTATCTTTCCTATCTTCAAATTCCATATAATAGCACTTACTGTAATGAAAATTCTCTACTGCTGCTTTCTATCTAGAGCAATCTAGATAGATAATAGACAGAAGTTAAATGCTTTTATGGGCTTCTATTTGATTTACAACTTCTTTTTATTATCTGGATCCCAATATTAGAAATAAAAATTTCTACATAAAATAAGGCAAAATAAAAACATTTTTAGACAAATCAACACTAAATTTTATTATTAGCATGCTTTCACCAAAAGAATTTCTAAAGAATGTACTTCAGGAAGAAGGAAAGAAAGAAGATATAAGAAAAAATGCTGAGCAAAAAAAACCCCCAAAACTGGTATAAACAAGGGTAAATCTAAATGGGTACTTCCTGTACTAACAGTAACACTGATAATGATTAAGTTGGGGATATTAAAGCAAGACTGAACTATAAAATTCTGGACAACAATAATATATAATACACAAGGCAATGACCTGAATTCAAGTATTCTAATGTAAAACACTTTTCAGGAAGAGGAGAGATACATTGATTCATTTCAGGTTTTATTAAACCTTTTAAAAAGTTAAATTCCAGGAGAAATTGTGCTTTTCCTGTGGAACTGGTATGTTTATTCCCCGTAGGTGAAGAAATACATTTTTACCCATTTAAAACACCTTCAGATTCCACAAAATCTTTCCTTTTGTTTGAATGTAAGACAGTCAATGTTAAACCTGTTGGGAAAAAAAGAGTAATACAAAAAAGTGTTTTTCAGTGTTTTGTTCATATATAATTTTTAGGTGTTCATATATTTCACTATAATAAAAAATGAATTAAAGACCTTGAACAAGGAAACTGCTTAAAATACAATTTGCTGGATTATTTTTCTGTCTGTGGGTATCTGAAAGTTTGAAGCATGGGCAATATTTCTGTTGTGTGTATATGTTTTGTATGTATAAGCATGGAAATTCTGAATTTATTATGTAAAATAATAAAATGTATCAAAATCTTAATTTTAAAGTAGCCAAATTAAACACTCATCAATTCTGTGCATTTAATTTTACTTTGCTAAAAATCATGGTTGATTTTACCTTTTTTCTCTAGTCAAAAATTTAAGTACATAACTAAATAGCAAGAGACTACATTTTGATGTTGTTTTTTCCCTTCTACTGGCTGTATAAGAAGTAGAAGACTTACTGGGTGTCATCTGCTCCTTAGAGTCACTTCTGCTTCTTAATTGTAATTTAAGTTTCTTATGTTACTGATTTTTTTAACAAAATAGATTTCAAAAAGTTCTGTAGCCACACATATAGTTTATTTTTCGTACATATCATTGGTTTAAGAATAGCTGATTCTAGTTAAAATAAATTTTACTCTCGATTGGTGTATGTTTGTCAGTTGTAAAGTTGACAAAGGCATGATGTGATAATGACAGAGTAATGCTTAATAATTTAATGTTTACTTGGCTTGATATGACAATAGTTTTGGTAGCAATAAGAAGAGGATGAGTAGTATTTCTCTTTTGTATATAAATTTATAAAGTCATATTATTATTATTTTAAAAGATTTTACTTTTAAGCAATCTCTACACCCAACGTGGGGTTCAAACTCACAATGCTGAGATCAAGAGTCTCATGGTCCACCGACTGAACCAGTCAGGCACCCCAAGCTCATACTATTTAAAACCTAATCTCTTTAGCTGATTTGTTTTAGCTGTAATCTTAAAGCAGATTACTTGCTAAATGCATTACTAGGATCTTGCAAGCAGAGAAGATGAAACCACAGTTCTACTTTCTAACACTAGACAGAGAAAAAAGGCCTCACTCCTAGACACAGAGGATAGCTGCTTGTTAAAAGATGGGAGAAAGATTTTTTTTTTTCAGCTTAGAGAGTCAAATATTTTTGTGTCAGTTTCAACCTTGTTGAAATAAAATAGCAGAGTAGTGATGAAATAATCTCCAAAGCCAAAAGAAATAGAATGTTCAGCGTGAAGCCTATATAAGAAGTAATATATACAATAATAATTTGTCCATGTGTCTTAAGCACATCAAAGGAAAAGATGCCCCATTAAGTAGGTCTAAGTATTCTTCTCTGTGGGGCAGGCATATTTCTTCAGCCTCTTCACAAAAGTATTACTTCAGTTACCCAAATCCCTTTGTTTCTTAATGCTACATTGCTCAGCACCTTCCTAACTAAAAAAAAAAAAAAATGTTTTCAGTTACCCTGATTCCAGACAGGTGTGGCAAGTTCAGCCTCACAATTGTTAACTACTACTTTAACATTTTGGTACTAGTAAAATCTTGTGAATTTGGTGGATAAAACCTCATCTTCCCAGGATCGGAAAACTGGATGAAGTAATAAGATCCAGGCTTGCAAATCTGGACTGTAGACACATGATAATGTCTAGAAATAGCACCTTATAAAGTTCGACTGCAAAAAGTCTTCCATTCTCACATTACTATAATTTAATAGTTAATTTTGCTAAGTGCACTGATAAGCAGACATTTGTAATATTTGTATATAGTTCAGTTCAATCTTTTTCACTAGTCTCAGTCTACTAGGTATATAGAGAGGCATTCATTAGTTCAGTTATTCAATTCATTTACATTAAGTTCCTTCTAATTCCAGGCATTTTTGTGGATGCTAGTAATACAAATTAGGGCATGGTCCTTACCTTCCAGAAGGTGACATGCTAGTGAGGAAAAGAGACAATAGAATCTCAGTTGTTATAGCCTAGGATGGTAAGTAGTGCCTTAGAAGTATGCACATAATACACTAAGAGCACAAGGGAAAGCATTTATTTATTTATTCATTCATTCATTTTTTAAAAGATTTTATTTATTTATTTGAGAGAGAGAGAAACAGCATGAGAGGGGAGAGGGTCAGAGGGAGAAGCAGGCTCCCCACTGAGCCAGGAGCCCAATGTGGGACTCAGTCCCAGGACTCCGGAACCATGACCTGAGCCAAAGGCGGTCGCTTAACCAACTAAGCCACCCAGGCACCCTAGGGAAAGCATTTAAATCAAGGCTTCCTGAACAAATGCGAAGCCAGAGGAAACTCTGGTGGAGGTCCGTAGCGGTCCTGTTTTAACTAATTTTTAAAGGACGTGTAGGAGTTAGCTGCTAAAGAAGGGAGAAGAGCACTATGTAGCAGGAACAGGAGGTGTAAAGGCATGGAGATAGGAAATAGCATGATAAACAGTTTGGTAGGGTTACAGCAAAGATATATTTGGAGATGGCCAAAGATGCAATTTATGGAGGGAAGAGAAATAGTAAACAAAGGGTGACATAGGTTGAGGATGGTATTTTATTTTTAATACTGGAGTGCTTAAAGATTAAGGGAGAGTCATTGGAGAGGAAAGTTGGGCGAGGAAATAACTGATGAGAACACACTGATGCGGGAAGAGATGGGATCCAAAGCAGAAATGAGAAATTGTTTTTCGAAGGGAGGAGATTCACCTCCTTTATAAAGAAAGGAGGAAAAGATAAAAGAATAGAAGAAATGAAGGTAAGTTTGTAGATGGTAAGGTTGTAAGAAGAAAGGTTGTTAAGAGGTATTAAGAGCCCATACAAGGTCAGAGAAGTTAAGTTTGTAGTGGTACTAAACTATCTGATTTTCTCTAATAATGCTCAGGAGCTCAGGTACAGGAACAGAGAGGTTAAACGTCTTGATGGATTCAGAGCTGAGATTTAAATGGAAGGTACAGTAGAAGGACAAGACTGATTAAAGTCATGGGCACATCACCAAGCCTGGAAAGAGAAAAATGTGAAACAAAAAAGGAGGTGATTGATTACAGATCTCTAAGTTGCTGAACATCATGGAAGAGGTAAGATAGCTGTGTATCAGAGTTTAAAGTTCAGAGGTAGCACAGTTCTGCACTATTACAAGGTTAATGGCATAGCCACGGAGTGAATATCATTTCTCCTGTGGAGGCCAGTGAAACTATAAGGTCAGTGTATTGAATGAGCCATTCACATTAAAGACACCTAGGATAATGGCAGCACTAGGAGTGAAAATACCATGAACCAGGTGCACAACTGTCCATGGGTGATGGGGAGTGTTTGGGTGGTTACTAGATGATGGCAACATGGAGTGGTAGCGAATGGTGTGGCAATACGGCATAGGCTCAGAGGACAGAGAAATAATATTTTGGAAAGGATAATGGAAAGCAAGAAATGACCCTTTCAATCCTATGATATATATTTCATATATAAGAGGGAGATAATTATCAGCTTCTCTATGAAAGGGATACAGGGGAAGCTGTATCATCTGTGAAAAGCTGGGTTCACTTAAGACAAGGAGATTAAAAAAAAGTTAAAGAGTTTACATATAAGCAATGGGTTCCATGGCACAAGGTGAAAAGGGTTGGCAGAGGGGGCAATAGTTGGTAGAAGAGTTGAAAATGACACTAGAACAAGACAGACCTTGGTTCAAATCCTGAGTCCCTCACTTACCACCTGTGAGGTGCGGCATGTTACAACACCTTTATGAACTTTAGTTTCTTTATTTGTAAAACTGATTTGTAGAGTTATTGTAAGTATACAGAATCATTTAGCAACTAGTAAATGACAATCAATAAAAGGTGTCAACTGATAATAATACACACAAAAGTACATATAATGTACATATAAGTACATTATAGGATATTTATATTGCACACTTAAAGTTCAGATTTATTTAAAAACTGGTTAGATTCCACTGAGTTATATACTTTTAAAGTATGAATTTTATGTTATTATATCTTAATTTAAAAACTTAGATCACTACATTTTTATATGTTCCAAACCTTTGTTATCAAATGAAGCATAATTTAAAACTCCATACCTTCCATTTTGTTAAGGATTTTAATGAGTAAATGTTTTTCACCATCTGAGTCCATTCTTATTATAATCAGCACCTGATCGAAAATAAGAATTTCATATATCTCTGATTAATTATTCTTTTTCATAGTTTTGCTACTGTGACAAAATAACAAGCTTGATTGGTTACATGAAACTATTGGCAAAAAGATTACCAAGTAAATATTTGTGCTGTAAAAGACGTCAGTGCGGGGCGCCTGGGTGGCTCAGTCGGTTGGGCGACTGCCTTCGGCTCAGGTCATGATCCGGGAGTCCCGGGATCGAGTCCCACATCGGGCTCCCTGCTCGGCGGGGAGTCTGCTTCTCCCTCTGACCCTCCCCCCTCTCATGCTCTCTCTCTCTCTCATTCTCTCTCTCAAATAAATAAATAAATAAATAAAATCTTTAAAAAAAACAAAGATGTCAGTGCTTAAACACAAAGGAATAAATTCTGGTAAGATCAAATATCAATGAGGAAAATATTCTGGAGTGGAGCATTCTTAGCATCCGTGTAATACCCTGTATACATAAATTGTCTCTACCTGCATTCTTAGCGTAAATTCAAACCAGACAAGTTTGAGTTGATTGGAAAAAGAACCAATGATTTGTTGCTATACTTTCCTAGTTATCATTATAGCTTTTTTTTGGTGGTGGGAGGGAGAGGACAACAAATAAATTCCAGTTCTTAAATTTCTTACTGATTATTTTACTTTATTTTAATGACAAGCAAGTTATCTAAGTAACCACAGAGTTGGAGATAAAGACACAGGAGGGACAAAGAAAAAAAAAAGAAAAAAGCCAAATTTGTATCCAGATTTAGCGTAAAGCACTTGAAAAGTTTTCTGATTTGAAAACATTTAAGAAAGTATTTCCTCTTAAGTTTTTATCAATATAACCTTCAGATGCTTGAGGTAGGGTGGACAAAAATTTCCAATATAATTCAAAGCATAAGCTAAATGCTTTTTTTTAAAAAATAGAATCATATAAGATGAGATTCTGGCTTAACATTAAAAATAAATTATTGTAGTTCTGTTATTTGGTATATGTTCATGAACTTAGATGTACCAGACAACAGTTTTGAAATTTGGAGAGCTAATCCACAGAAAACTGCGTATAATAAAAATTAAAGTATTTTTAAATTCAAGATACATGAACAATGATGCAAATCAACCTTTCTCTGTGTCTGATTCTGTTTTGTTAACTTACTTAAGGAGAAACCCATCAAGGACCAAATAGTCTAGACTATTTCATAATTTCAGAGTTAAATGCAAAAATTTCTTACATACAATTCTTGTTTAAGCTGATTACCATTATCTGCTTTATTCCAGCACTTACCTTAATCTGTTGCTCACTTTGCATCCAACTTAGTATCTGACATTGCAGTTCTTGTATCTTGTAGTTGGTTTCAGGCTTTTTTTCCCTAATAAACTGTACAATCTCCAGCTGTCTCCAAATGTCATCCAAATAGGAGCCTAAAATGCTTTTGTAGATATCTTTTGCATTTGACAAATATCCTGTTAAAAACAAAAGCAGGGGGGAAAGGCATATCTTTTTGTTCTTTGAGAAACTCCATGAGTCATAACAGAGTTAATCGTTTTCCGATTTTGATCAAAGATATTGACTAATGAAAACCTTTAAACTGAGTGAAGCTGAAAATTATGTACCAAATGTATGTACCAAGCTTCTTTTAAGCTACATAATGACATACTCTATATATCCTCTGAATATATCCCATCTTTTCCTGCCTTCTGGCTTGGTCTACACTTACATGCAAGTCGTATGGAAATGCCACTTCATTGGAATTTTCTTGGTATTTTATCTATAGAGCTTTTGTACTTAATTTCTTGTTTATGTATACGACAATCTCATTAGTCTATAAACTCTTGGGATATAACCCATGATATTTATGCATAATTCACTTATATAGCTGCTAAAATGGCAGAGCCTAAATTCAGACTCACTAAAGCAGTTTCTAAACACAGAATCCTGAGACCAATCCCTGAAAGTTCATATTCAGTAAATCTAGACTCTTTCCCAGGGATTTCTGCCTAAAAGCTCTTCCTGATTCTCTAGACTTTATCTTCTGAAAGAGAAGCCTAATCCAGTAGCATCCCCGTTTCAATGGCTCCTTATCATCTACAGAATAAGGTCTGAACTCTTTTGTGCAGTTTAAAAGGCTATTCATGATTTGTCTCTTTGTTATGTCTTCAGGCTTAGTTCCTATTCCTTTCTACCTTATACTCTTCGATTTAGCTACATGCAGCACACCCACTGGGTCATTCTTCTGGGCTCTCAATTCTGCCTATAATACCCTTTTATACTTTATTTATTTGGCAAACTCCTACTTGTTTTTAAACAAATATTCAGCTTTTAAGTTAACAGTCTCCATCCTTTGTGCCATAGTACATATTGCTGCTGTAATACCCATTACACAATACTGAATTTATTTCTGGGTTAAAGCTCAGAAGTGAAACTCTATACCTTTAATCTTGAAACTCATTAACTTGCTAGCTTGAGAGAGGTAGCAAACTAGAAGCTGGGAGAAAAATACAGAATTCTGGAAGGCAGCAGGGCAGACAGCCAGACCCCCATGGACCTTTCTTTCTCTGACACTATGCAGAGAAAAAGAAAAGAGGACAACCTAACTTACTCTTTGATTTTGAGAGGTTTAGAGGAGTGAGAAATCTCTCCACTAAAAATGTCCAAGGTGGCTAGGTTATTCCTTATGGCTTGGTACGTAAGGCTTAAGAAGTTCGTTTTCCAACAAGGATTTTACTTTCATAGTATTCCTCAAGGTAACCAAATAGCAATGCCCAAATTGATTTGGTGAAAGTATTTCTTTGAGGAGTGAAAATTATTCAGCCCAAGTAGATGGTTCTTAATGGTCTCACCTAATCCTAGGGTAGACTGTAACAGTACCTAAAGGTGAATATATCTCAAGCAATCCTCCATAAATATTATTTCTCTAATTCTAGCTCTCTAGTACTAATAAGTATTAAGCAGCAGTGAGTCACGATGCACTCTCTTTTTTTTTTAAGATTTTATTTATTTATCTGACAGAGAGAGATAGCAAGGGCAGGAACACAAGGAGGGGGAGTGGGAGAGGGAGAAGCAGGCTTCCCGCAGAGCAGGGAGCCCAATGCAGGGCTGGATCCCAGGACTCCAGGATCATGACCTGAGTAGAAGACAGACACTTAACGACTGAGCCACCCAGGAGCCCCCACAATGTACTCTCTTTACAGCACTGGGAGCTCAGATAGTCTATATTCTGACATTCTGCCTTACACTATGCTTTAACAATCAGCTTAGCTTTTGATAGAACTGATGATTTTTTATGGAAGCTGAAAGACAGGTGACTAAATAGAAGGGCATGTAATTTTACACCCTTATACCAATTTCAGGTACTGTAAACTAGGGTGAGAGCCCCCAATCCATACTTGATGGGGATGGAGGTAAAACAACCCAATCAGCATCAACACCCAAGTGGTTTAATTGGAGAGAAAAGGAAAAGCACCATGTTGGGCTTTCTAAAGGTAGTTGTAATTTAGTTATAATACTTGGCCAGATAATACTAATATAATACTTGGCCAAATATAACTCCCAGTGCCGAAAGGGAGTACAGTTGTAATTCACTGCTGCTCAGTACTTATCAAAACCTTGGATTAGAGAAATACTTGTCTGGGTCACAGATAAAACAAAACCTCTGGGTCACAGATCAGAGTAAAATTATTTTCACTTTATATTTTAAATAGGTTCTAGAAATTCTAAATTATGAAACAATTCTATAAGCACACCATTACTAAACAAGTCTAAATAATCCTGCAATAAGGAGCCTCAAACAGTAATGTACTGAGACAGATATTTAAATGATTTTCATAGTTTAGAAAAAATTTCTATAACCTTTAAATTTTCCAATGTATTCAAAATAGTTTGATTTTTATTCCTCCAGTAATTCATATCCTAATTTACAGATAAAACTAAAAAAGAAATTGCAAAATATCTTACTACTAATAATTTGGTTATATTAGTTAAGTATATTCATCTAGCAAAGATTCAAAGCCACAAACATTCAATGAAGACCGAAAATGTACATGGCAAAATATCACCTTACATTAAAAAGTAGTGCATGACAAAACAATGAATCATGGAACACTATATCAAGAACTAATGATGTAATGTATGGTGATTAACATAACAATAAAAAATTTAAAAAAAAATTAAAAAAATAGTACATGACAATGATTATACAATCAAATCTGTTTAAGGCATTATGACTCTGTAATTCAGGCCTAGATTAGAGGATCCTAAACCTAGTTTTCTAAGTGATGATATTTGTTACAAATGATTTCTTTTAAAGAATACAGGCAGAATAAAAATATATATTCTATTATAATTATGTCAAAATGTATATGATGTTTAATGCGGAAGTAAAAGAGGCTACATCATTTCTTATAATTTCTTTTTCAGGAAAGTAAAAGTTATTTCAGATGAAATATTTCAATAGGAAGAAAAGGGGAAATAAAAATTTCCCCCACTAACCCAATGCTGTGTCCAAGCTACATGTTAAAAGGACATCTCTAATTGTTACCAGAAGATGTAAGAGAGCAGCATGCTTGAACGTTATTTCTTTTTCATCAATTGTACCTAAGCAAACAGAAACATATTTAAAAACATAAGATACACATCAGAATTTTTGAATATGTATCAGAATGCTTAACAATAATAGCTAACATTCATTATCAGGTGCTTACTATGTGCCAGGCTGTATGTAAGCTGGTTATTTCACTGAATCTATAATGATAACCCTGTCAGATAAGTTTATTATGAGCCTCATTTTTTGGATGAGGAAATAGTCTGAACAAGGTTAAGTAACTGTCCAAGGTCAATATGTGAATAAATGGTGGAGCTGGCATTCAAACCCAGATGGCTAACCTCAGTGTTCATACTCTTGTTGTTTTCCCACTTAGGAAAAAAGATCAGTGATTCCCAGTTATAAAACAAGAAGAAAATTAAACTCATAACTTGCCAACTGGTGAAGATAAAGATGGGTGATCATAACATAAAGCAATACCTTAAAATGAAGGTAGAGACACCTGGGAATAATTGTCCAAAGATATGACTCAAACAAGAGATGTATTCACAGGGACAGGCCAATTGTCTACTTAATGTGTTCCATGTAGTTCTAGAGCTTTTTGAAGATGACAGATTGGATTTTACCGTGTGCAAAAGTGAAACCAAGAAGATAGGAATCTAGGCCCTTTGCCCTTTTCTCTGTTTTATATAGTGGGATCACATGAAATATTTATTTGTACAAAATGTTCTGCTAAGAAGTTTGAAAACTGCTCATCTAATCAATCAATAAAGATCAAGGCAAATATGAAGTAGTCACTGGGAACCAAGAGACAACAGGAGAACCATTTCTGGGTAGTATATCCAGCCCCTGTAAGACTTGTGGAAACAAGTCAATCATGACCTGGAAGGGTTGAGAACAGAGCAGAGAAATCAGATTTGGTATCATTTTTCTTCTTTCTTTAGGAGAACATTTCTTGAACATCTTTTATAGTGCAGGTCTGCAGCTGATGAATTCTTTCAGCTTTTGTATGTATGAAAACATCTTTATTTCACCTTTGTTTTCATTATATATTTTTGCCTAGTATAGAAAACTAGGATTTTCTTTCTTCAGTATTTCATTTTATTTTTTAAAGATTTATTTATTTGAGAGAGAGAGAGAGTGGGGGGAGGGGCAGAGGGAGAAGGAGAGAGGGAACCCTTGAGCAGACTCCCAGCTGAGTGCAGAGCTAGATTCAGGGCTCAATCCCAGGACCCTGAGATCATGACCTGAGCCGAAATCAAGAGTTGGTTGCTCAACTGACTCAGCCACCCAGGCACCGCTTCTTTCAGTATTTTAAAGATTTTACTCCACTGTCTTTTCACTTGTACAACTTCTGACAAGAAATTACGTCATCCTTATCTTTGCTTCCCTTATGCAACATGTTTTCCGCCCCCCCTCTGGCTGCTCCTACAATTTTCTCTTTACTACCAGTTTTGAGCAATTTGACTATATGCCTTGATGTAGCTTCATTATGCTTCTTATGCTTGGGGTTCACTGAGTTTCTTGGATTTATGGGTTTGTAGTTCCTAACTAAATTTGGAAACCTTTCAGTCACTATTTCTTCAAATATTTTTTTCTGTTTACCCCCTTTGCCTCTCCTTTGAGAACTCCACTTACTATTATGTCAGGCTATTTGAAGTTGTTTCACAGTGCACTGATGCTCTTTTCTTCTTCTTTTTTTTTAGATTATTTTATCTACCTGTGTTTTATTTTGGAATAGTTTCTATTGCTATGGCTTCAAGTTTACTAATCTTTTCTTCTGTAATGTTTACTCTGCCATTAATCCAGCGCAGTTTTCATCTCATACATTGTATGGAGATGATTTTTAAAAATTTTTTATTTTAAAAAATAATTTCTAGAAGGCTGATTTGTGTCCTTTTTCTATCCCTAACTTATTGAACATATGGAACATAGTTATAAGAAGTTTCAGTGCCTTTCTCTAATAATGCTAACATCTCTGTCAGTTCTGAGTTTGTTTTGATGGATTATTCTCATTATGGGTTGTGTTTTCCTATCTTTTGTCATGCCTGGTAATCTTTGATTGGATGCCAGACATTGTGAATTTTACCATGTTAGGTGCCCCACAAATTATGAGTTTTTCTAATCTAGCTGATCGGAGCAGGCATTACTCCCTGCCCTGTGTGAGTGCAGAGTACTACTCCCTCTAATCCTTTCAGATGGTTTGCTTCCCCAACCTCAGGTGGTTTCCTCACATACACTCTGATCAGTACTCTGTTCAACACTCTGTGTAAAGCTCTCTGTCTCTCATATTCTATCCTTTGAACTCTAGTTGCCTTGGTCTCCCTGGATTCTCAGTTCTGTTTCCTCAACACAGATTGTCCACTGGGCTCTGCCCCTACTATCTCTCCCTGTGCTATGGCCTGGCAACTTTTCCAAGGCAGTAAGCTAGGGCAATGGTAGGGCTCACCTTACTTGTTTCCCATCTCTCGGGAATCAGTGTGCTTCACTGCCTGATGTCTAGAGTCTTAAAAACTGGTTTCATATATTTCGTCTTTGTCTTTTCTTTTTTTCCCTGAAAGAAGTGTAAATTCATTCCCTCTTACTCCATCTTGGCCAGGAGAAAAGTCCAGGATTGACTTTAATTAATCTATTTTTGACATCCCCCCTACCTTCAGAGGGAACTAGGTGGTTCAGATGTTAACAATAGGGTTGATATGGTTTTTGCAATAGGAATCTGTCAAGTAAATTATGTCAGTTAGGAGCATTACTGAGAAGCAATGCCAGATGTATTTGTTACCTTTTTCTCCTTACTTAGCTGACCCTCCGGTATTAGTTTATGGGTGTCATATTCTGAATTAAAGTTATGTCTTCATCCATGACTAATTTCTATACCTTCTATATTCAATTTTTACTCATTTGATACAACCCATGAATTTTTATCCTTTTAAATAATATGACTTTTATTTGTACTTACCTTGCTGAATAGCATCACTTATTACTTTTTCTTGTTCCTTTAAGAGGAACCTTGTTTGGTCAAAAATGACAGTGGCAAATGTCCAATTAGCAGCAGGGAGAGTACAGAGGCATACAAGTTTTTTTAAGATAGGAGTAGCTGCTGCTTCTAGGAGACAGAATGCTTGGCACTGGCTATCTGTGAAAGTAAAAGCATTAAAGATAGTGTTTTATAAGGATGGCATGCTCTTTTTGACAAACCTGTTAAACATGTCACTTCATGGAAAACTGAACTACATCCAAATTATTTTCTGGGTTAAAAATCGTGAGATTATATAGAGGTTCATTTTAGGATATTTATTCTAAATAAATTAATAACAAATAATAAGAAAACAAAACAAAAAACCCATCTATAGAATTTATATAATTTTATGGTTAATTGTATAATTTTATGGTTAATATGTATAATTTTATGGTTATCCTGCTTATTAGAAAATATGTATTTGGTAACTAATATGGCAAGTGTGAAGAGCCATATAAAGAGAATCACGTATTTTTTTTCCCCTCCACAATTAGCTTACAACCTTAAGCTGAACAAATTTACCACAATGACAAACTGTTTCTAGTTTTCACTAGAATATCAGTATTTTAAGATTTGCATTATCATCTTAAGGTCATAAATAAAACTGAACCGAAAAATGAAAAGATATTAAAAACTAGTGTCATATTTCCTCATTGATTTTAATAATGAGCATGATGTTCTTTTAAGTAGGCTATTCTTTAGGAGTCAAAGAATATTCTTCTTCACAGCAGAAGCAAAAATTTTAATCACTATAGGAAACAATAATAGCTTTTTTAACATCACCCTGACAGTGGGTAAGAGAACAGAGGGAGTGAGCCTCAGCAGTTCATTTTTCCTGACTGGGCAGAAGAATCTGAGCAGCTGCAGTCTGCTGTTCTCTGATGAATGTAGGGAAGAAGCAGTTTATTTATTTTTTTAATATTTTTTAAAGGTTTTCTTTATTTATTTGAGAGAGAGAGCATGAGAGGGGTAAGGGCCAGAGGGAGAAGCAGACTCCCCGCCAAGCAGGGAGTCCGATGTGGGACTTGATGTGGGACTCCATCCTGGAACTCCAGGATCATGATCTGAGCCGAAGGCAGTCGCTTAACAAACTGAGCCACCCAGGCAGCTGGGAAGCAGCAATTTAAATGATGGAAGAAATAACAGTGAGTGGACTGGAGTAGGGCAATGGAAAGGGGCAAAGGCAGTGAATGGGGTGTTCAGGTGTAGGAATATCTTAAAAGTAGGAATGGAATGAAGAAACATCTGAAACAAATAAAGAAAATTACATGGAAAATCAGGTATGTCCTAGATACTCAGGAAAAGGCTTTCAAATTTACTTAATTTGAATGCATTTTAAAAGCATACAGCATACCTGATGCTTGAATTTCAATGACATTAACCACTCTCCTTTCCTGATTTATTTTCTCTATGGCTTTATTAGTACAAACAGGAGGACTTTCTTCCTGAAGAGTTAAAGAATGTTCTTCTTTATCTTGAAATTCTAATAAAAATTATTAATTTGCATTATTCAGGGAAACTTAGTGTTGCTTTACTTAAAATGCTTTCATGTAATATGATCACAATTGTTAAAGTTCTTCCTTGAAACACGTCAGTATTAAATTGAACAACTATTCAGGTCAATGGATGTAACACAGTGCTGAATGGCAATAGTGGAAAGAATCTTGACATCGAATCACTGTTTCAATCTCAGTTCTGACACTAGCTTCAGTGTCCTCATATGTAAAATATACATAAATATACCTATTTTGAATATCGTTATAGGGATTAAACACCAAGTACAGTTCCTGACACCTGAAGGGCACAAACAGCTCAATTTCATTTCTCTGTGACTTTCCACATACCCCTCCTTCTGCTACTAATCCTCTCCTATGCCCCAAGCCCTCCCTGGCTCCATCCTTTCTTAATTAGGTCAGTTCTTACCACTTACCCTTCAGCTCTCAGGCATTTTCTATAAGCCTACTCTACTATGTTGTAAGCTTCTCAAGGTCAGCAATGGTATCATCTTTATCTCTAATATGTATTTTAGTGCCTGGCATACAACATTCAACAAATGTCAGTTTTCTTCCTTCTTTCCTAAGTATTGTAGAGGATAACAAATATGTATATAACTAATTAATTTATTTATAGTTACTTATATTAACTAGATAGTAATGTTATCTATTAATTATATGATTACAGGATAATTTTAGAAACACAATACCATCTTAAAACATTTTAATATATGAGCTTTAAATACATGGTGGAAAATAATGGAGTAAAATACCCTAAACTAGATTATGTTATTATTTTCAAGTATACTTTTAATTAACTATAAATAATTGGAATAGCTAGGACTAAATAATACAATTACTAGAGTTTTTGAGGGGACCCAATAAGTTGTAACATTCTTTCTTGCCCCTGAATTAACTATAAAAAAAGGCAAGAAGTAAAATATATACCAAAGTATTACCTCTGCTACTAATAAAGGCTAAGTTGGAGAAAGGAGCTTAGTTTGAGAGTCAAATGGGCTTATTAACTAAACAGCAGAACTGTATGTTAATAATATATGAGACCGTAAGACCTAACTATGCTGTAACTCTCACACATAAATATTTTTGTACTTAAGGTCAAGTGTGCTCTCATTTTGTGAGTTTTCTCCCTCTCTCTCTCTTTTTTCCCCTAAAAGTCAGAGCGGGGGAGCAGTGGGAGATTTATTTATGTAATAAAGTGAAGTCCGTGACAAAATATATATATATTTTTGTACTTAATTCTTCTGGGCAATGTATGTCAAACATATTGTAGAATATTTATTATTTCTTTACCAGAAGTGAAATGATATGACACATACTACCTTTGATATGGTTATAAGCAGTGAATGTAAAACAGTTACAACTCACACAGAAACTCTTCGGTAAATTTAAAAAGAGTAATAAGCAATCAAATGGGCAAAGTGTTCTTAAGTACACATTAAAATGTAATACTGAGAATTGTCAGCTAAAAGAGAAAAAAGAATGGCAGAATGATCAATAAAAGTTAGAAATACTGACTCTGTATGGCCAAATTACAAAAGCAAGTTTTACAAATAGTGGCTTTTCTTATAAGTTCAAGTGTACTTTTAAGTTTTTTGGGAAATACATATTACATCTATATCTAAATAGCCACATCTATCTCCATTTTAATGAGTATCATGAATGAATGATACCTTCTTTGACTTTGAAAAAGAATATATTCTATTTGAAAGAGCTTTACATTTTCTTACCTTCTGTCGTAAATTATACACTTAGTCCTTAAAGCTATCCTATCTGTGCCAAAATATTACTAAATTACCCACCATCATTTTCTTTACTGCCTGTGACTTCAGTCTTTGAGGTGCAAGTTTTATATTTATTTCGCAGCATAATGAAGTCACTCAAAAGGTCCAAATCATTCTCCCATTTTTTACCATGTTTAAAAGATGCTTTTTCAATTTTTGGAGAGGAAGATGATTCAATAGATGGTACTGTGCAGTCAAGTTCCAAGTAATCTTCATTTTCTTTATTTTGGCTTATTCTATAAACTAGTTCTAGATCATTCTTTGGTTTTTCTTCTTTTGGTTGTTTAACAGAAAAATTGTCATCAGAAAAACACAGGTCTGGTACTTCTTCTGCCGGAGATGAAATCTTTTGTGGAAGTAATAAATGATCATTTGTAGATGTCTCATTAATAAGTACAATAGGTGAGGAAAAACTTTTCTGTTCTAGCCATGCTAAAAACAGAAAATAAAAATATCCAAATGACTTCCATGATAAATGAGTGTTCTACTAGGGTATTAGAATAACTTTTATTTGTAAGTTCTTATTGATATAATTTGATCCTTAGAAGTACTTTGTTTATTGCTTTGAAAATCAATTTTGGCCTGAATAATATAAGTTTTTAAAAAGGGCAAAAATTCAGGACCTCTTTTTCTTAATCCTGGAGCTAGGTTACCAAGCAAAGAAAGAATTCCAGAAAAGCCCTATTGCCAATAGGCTTGCAATTAAGTCTAAAGGTAAAAACCTTAGGTATCAAGCAATCCACAGGCCAGAAGAATATACTTGCAATACATACACTTGAAAAAGGACTGTATTCAATATATCCAAAGAAGTCTTATAGCTTAATATTTAAAAAGAAATCCAATTTAAAATTTGACAAAATATGAACAATACTTCACATAAGATATGTACATGCTACAACATGGATGAATCTTGAAAACATTCTAAATGAAAGAAGCCAATCACAAAAGACCACATATTGTATGACTCCATTTATAAGAAACATCCAGTCAACAAATCTATAGAGACAGAAAATAGATTAGTGGTTCCACAGCTGGGGAAAATGGGGAGTGACTACTAATGAGTACAGGATTTCTTTTGGGAGATGAGAAAAATGTTCTAAAATTGATTGTAGTGATGATTTAACTCTGTGAATATACTAAAACCACTGAATGGCATACTTTAAATGGATAAATTTATGGTATGTGAATTATATTTCAATAAAGCTATAATATATATGTATATTTTATTTTATTTTTAAGATTTTTATTTATTTGACAGAGAGAGCACAAACAGAAGGAGAGAGAGGGAGAAGCAGGCTCCCTGCTGAGCAGGGAGCCCGATGTGGGACTCGATCCCAGGACCCTGAGATCATGACCTGGGCTGAAAGCAGCCACTTAACCAACTGAGCCACCCAGGCATCCCTATATGTATATTTTAAAGGTTTATTTATTTTAGAGAGAGAGTGCATGTGCAAGCAGGGGGAGGGGCAAAGGGAGAGAATATTCAAGCAGACTCCCTGCTAAGCATGGAGCCAGCTCCTGGGGCTCAATCTTATGACCCATGAGATCATGACCTGAGTTGAAACCAAGAGTCAGACACAACTGACTGAGCCACCCAGGCGCCCTAAAATATATTTTTTAAAGGAAGATATACAAATGGCCAATGATGATGTAAAATGATGTTCACCATCATTAGTCATCAGGAAAATACAAATTAAAACCAAACTGAGATAGCACAACACACCCACTGGAATGCTAAAATTAAAGACTGTCAATACCAACTGTTGACAAGGATATAGAGTAACCGGAACTCTTACACATTGCTAGTGTAAATGTACAATGGTGCAACCACTTTGGAAAACAATTTAGTAGTTTCTTTCTTTTTTTTTTTTAAAGATTTTATTTATTTATTTGACAAAGAGAGACACAGCGAGAGAGGGAACACAAGCAGGAGGAGTGGGAGAGGGAGAAGCAGGCTTCTTGTGGATCAGGGAGCCCGACATGGGGCTCGATCCCAAGACCCTGGGACCATGACCTGAGCTGAAGGCAGACGCTTAATGACTGAGCCACCCAGGTGCCCCATCTTTCTTTTTTTTTTTTTTAAGATTTTATTTATTTATTTGAGAGAAAGAGAGAGACAGAGATAGGGACAGAGATAATGAGAGAGAGCATGAGCTCTCAGAGCTCCTTCCCAGAAAGGGAGAAGCAGGCTCCCCATTGAGCAGTGAGCCTGATGCAGGGCTCAATCCCAGGACTCTGGGATCATGACCTGAGCTGAAGGCAGACACTTAACTGACTGAGCCACCCAGGCACCCCTTTGGTAGTTTCTTATGAAGTTAAATATACACCTACCATAAGACTCAGTAATTGTATTCATAGATGTTCTATCAAGAGAAATGATAACATATGTCCATAAAAAAAGTTCTAGAAGTTTTTTTCCTAATAGTAAAATTCTGGGAAATACATCTAGGAGAGTTGATAAGCAAACTGGGGTACATCCATATGAAAAATTCCTCAGTAGTAAGAAATGAACTAGTCATACACATGACATCATAAGTGAATCTCAAAAGTGTTATGCTGAGTGGAAGAAGTCAGACACAAAACAGTTACTATATGATTCCATAAATGAAATTCTAGAACAAAGAAAACTAATACATAGTGACAGAAAGTAGACGTGGGTCTGACCTGGGGTTAAGGGTGAAGGTTGGAAGAAGAGAGGAATGTAATGACTACAGAGTATAAAGGGGCACAGGAAACATTTTGGTGATAGAAATATTCTATATCCTTGGATAAAGAAGACGTGATATATATATATATATATATATATATATAAAACGGAATATTACACAGCCATCAAAAAATGAAATCTTGCCATTTGCAATGATATGGATGGAACTAGAGGGTATTATGCTAAGCGAAATAAGTCAATCAGAGAAAGACAATTATCATATGATCTCACTGATATGTGCAATTTAAGGAACAAAACAGATGATCATAGGGGAAGAGAGGAAAAAAATAAAACAAGATGAAACCAGAGAGGGAGACAAACCATAAGAGACTCTTAATCATAGGAAACAACCTGAGGGTTGCTAGAGAGGAGGGTGGGTGGACGGATGGGGTAACTGGGTGATGGACATTAAGGAGGGCATGTGATGTAATGAACACTGGGCGTTATATAAGACTGATGAATCACAGACCTGTACCTCTGAAACTAATAATACATTATATGTTAATTAATTGAATTTAAATAAAAACATGTAAAAAAAGAAATATTCTATATCTTAATTGTGGTGGGTGGTTTCATTGGTATGCACATTTGTCAAAATGCATAAAACTGTACAGTTAAAATGGGTGCATTTTATTATATGTAAATTATACCTTATAACATTTGAGAAAATCTTAAATGTCTATAGGGCCAGAGAAATAAGGTATGTAAATGAATGAAGTATGTATTGCCAGTGCTTAAGGGCACCTGGGTGGCTCAATTGGTTAAGTGACTGCCTTTGGCTCAGGACCTGGAATCGAGTCCCATATCGGGCTTCCCTTGCTCTGCGGGGAGCCTGCTTCTCCCTCTCCCTCTGCCTGCCACTCTCGCTGCTTGTGCTCTCTCTCTGTCAAATAAATAAATAAAATCTTAAAAAAAATATTGCCAGTGCTCCAAATGCAGTCTGTAATTTTGTTTTTGCTTTTATTAGAGATATTGGTTTAAGAAACATTTTACTTTCCTCCTAACTATACTAAATGTAAGACAAAAGTGCCAGAGTAATGCTAAGTGCCAACTAACACCTGGCCTCAATTTATGAGGGCTGGGAACTATGGTGAACTGGAGGTGGGGAGCTATAAATGGCCTGTCTAAAGTGGTGAGCTGCTATTGGTTCCAACCAATTGTTACCATATAAGAGTATGGGTCTGGTTTTTGGAATTTTTAAAGACAATCTCAAAATACAGATCCTTTATCTGCAACCCTCCAAACTGTAAATGTTGGTAACTAATTAAAACACCATATGGGTCAATAATATGTGGGCTGAGTAGGATCAGAGGCTACCAATTCGAAACCTCTGAGATATTTTCTAGAGACAACCTGGTATGTTTAGCAGGCAAATATGAACTGTTTATTATTTCCCCTTTCTGATTATTTTCTTCTACTTCTCTCTGTTTAATCACCTGTATCCTGACAACTTGGAAATGAGCTCCTGATATAGTTCTTGCTTTTTATTTATTTATTTTTTTTCAGTTATTGCTTTTTAAACTCCATAAACTATCATCATAACTCTGTTGGATGTCAAGGTGAATTATATGTTTTATTTTAACCTCAAAATAGTTACATACCATAATAAAGACTTTACATAGTCTTACAGATACAATACATTATTCTGGATATTTGAAGACCCCATAAAATCTTCCTCTCCCTTTTCTTTGTCTAGCAATCTGACTTAATCTCTTTTAAAATTCTTCTGAGTACCCACCTAGGCCTTAGGATAGATAGACTGGTGTACATTTCCTTGACATAGTCTATTTTCCTTTCTACCAAAGCCCTCTGTCTTCTGTCTTTGAAACATCTCTTGCTGATAACAATTCCTGCCCCACTTCCTATCTCCTTAGAGCAGTCTCCCAACACACACAATAATATCTAAAATGCATTTTTAAATATATTTACTTACTCTATAATAAACTAAAAGTGAACTTTCCCAACTTCTTTAAGATCTAAAGCTGTTGCACAAACTGATTTAAAAACAATCCATATATACTTCAAAAAGGTGTAATTCAGACTAAATATGTTCCATTTATTATAATGGCATATATAACAACCAAAATAACTCAAAAGATAGATACTCAAAAGACATTTTTGCTGCCTTAAATTGTATAAGTAAAAAATGTTTACTGAGTAAACTCTTTGGAAACAAAGGAAGATTACCTATTGTTAAAGAGAGGTTATTAGATATTATTGAACACCCAGAGTTCACCTGTCAGATAGAAAAATAACAGTGCTGCTTTGAGTCTAGTCTGATATAAATAAACACTGGGCTAGCAATTAATCATTTATAAAAAGAAAGTCACTTTAATTGATTTTCAATTAAAAGAAATTTAAAAACTGAGACGAGAATTTTAGGACAACAAAGGATTTTAAGATGAGCTAGTCAAACTTCCTCATTTTTTTCAAGGAAGAAAATGGGGCTTAATGGAGCTCAAAGTTATAAATTCTGGCAGAGCCAGGGCTAATACTGAATGCTGGAATTTAGTTTCATTTTCCCAATTACCTAGTGGAAAGCCAGTATCTAACATTTTCTCATTCTGAAAAATTCACACAAGTGATATTTACTATTGCGTACTTACATTCTTTTTTTTTTTAAAGATTTTATTTATTTATTTGAGAGAGAGAATGAGAGATAGAGAGCACAAGAGGGAAGAGGGTCAGAGGGAGAAGCAGACTCCCTGCTGAGCAGGGAGCCCGACATGGGACTCGATCCCAGGACTCCAGGATCATGACCTGAGCCAAAGGCAGTCGCTTAACCAACTGAGCCACCCAGGCACCTGCGTACTTACATTCTAATTGAAGCACTTTTGTTGGCAAAAATATCTCCATTTTAGTATCATCAGAAGATAGATCATCATGACACAAATATGTATTCAGATGTCCCAAAGTTTCTGCCTCTTTCAGATTTCGTCCTCCTTTTTCCCACCACTCTGTGCTTACAGGATTAACTATAAGACTTCCTTCTTCAGTAGAAAATATCTTTTTCAAATCCATAACGGAATATTGACTATTGGGCTCTTCACTTCTTGGCACTTAAAAAACAATAACAAACCAAAAACAAATAGAAGCAGTTCATAGGGTAAAAGAAAACACAATAAAATAGAACCACACTGAAAATTCCTTATGAAACAGATTTTCACACACTGGAAAAAAAGTGAAACTTGAAGTTATATAGCTAGTATTTTGTCTTCAAGATGGTAATACTTGTAAAAGTCCAGAATATTATAGCAATAGAAGTCACATAAGGCATTTATTTCAATCTATGGAAATATCATAAAGTTAAAATTATTCTAATATTCATTAGGAAATAGAACCATTATTTTGTTTGAACATTTTAGTAATTACTAAATTAATACGTTTGATAACATTTTGAAGAATTAAAGTAAGATTTACTAAATTTGAAATTCTATTTTATTATAATCTGGGTGGCTCAGTTGGTTAAGCGACTGCCTTCGGCTCAGGTCATGATCCTGGAGTCCCGGGATCGAGTCCCGCATCGGGCTCCCTGCTCGGCGGGGAGTCTGCTTCTCCCTCTCACCTTCCCCCCTCTCATGTGCTCTCTCTTTCTCTCATTCTCGCTCTCTCAAATGAATAAATAAATAAAAAAAATCTTTTGAAAATAAAAAGAACCTAAACTAGAAGATATATTTGATCAGATTTTATGATGACTATCATCTTAGATACTGTGGCACAGAGCTTTCCACCTCATTTCTTTTAATCTAAATAATAACAAATCATAATGTATGGAGGAACGGAAGTAGCACAACTACTTTTATCTGCATTATAAGCATCAACCCAAAATTAAGATGAAAAATTCTGAAATCCTAATTTTGGAACTGTGTATTTATGACAGTAACAATAATAAAAAAATAATAAAGCTGACAAGACATTTCTACTAATTATACCTTCTCACTTTTACTTTTTGTTTAGCTTTCAAAATCAGTTAATCTTTACCTGTAGGCAAAAATGGTTTCAGTGAGCTTCTGCAGCTTTCTAACTGCCATACCATCCAGTTTTTGCTAGCTGATTCTTCAGCAGTAAGCAAACTACTGAAAAAGAAGAGTTAAAGCCTAATATATTAATAATATTGAGACTTTTTGTATAATAAAATTGTATTTTTTCTTCTTTTTTTAAAATTTAAATTCAGTTAGCCAACATATAGTAGTACATCATTACTTTTGTTTTGTTTTCAGGGCTGTAACAAGAGAGTTTATAGTTTTCCCACAATTACAGGTCTACCATTTCAGTTTCACTGGAGATAGAGGCTCTGCTCCTACCTCTCAGATACATTTACAAGACTGAGGGGCAGATCTTCTCACTGGATGGCATGTAAAGGAAGAGGAAGAAAGGAAGAAAAGAAGGTAGAAAGCTTACGATGAAACTCGGTGTGGCCACATCTTCCATTAGCTCTTAAAGAGTTGCTAGCATGAAACCTATACAGACAATGTTTTTCTTTTGTAAAAAGCAGTAAGTTAAGGCCAGTAACTAACTGAATTCAAAATGGCCAAGTCAAAGAAAACTGAAAAAGATTTTTCCTCCCCCTCCCCCCAGCTATAGAGCACATGGGGAGATGACAGGGGAGAGGACCAAGGTAAGGAGCCTGGGAGGGAAGGTATTATAATCTTAAACTGAACTGAAACTAAAATTTTAGGGTTAGGTCAATAAGACATGATTCATACTGAACAGAAGTTTTCAGGACCTGTCTGCACTTTGGGTAGATTTTCAGCATCTCAATGAAATTAAGACATATTTCCACGAGATTCACCAGGACAACCCCACTGAAGCACTTGGAGTAAAGTGAGAAAAGTGACCAGCAGTACACTGCTCTTGTAGCTTGGGCCCTCCCTTCCTCCTTCCTTCCCACCTCCCTTGAAGAACCTACATTTCTGTAATCTCTGGAGAAGAGCATGAGATATAAACCCCCCATAGTGTGGGATGGTGGGGGAGCAATGGTGGACATGGGAAGATATCTCCACCCAAATGCAGCAGCCGGGATTGAGGCTGGTTCATCTTTGTTCTTTAGTGATGAGAAACTGAATTTGAAAGGGGGAAAGATTTTTGTCCGTTAAGTATTCCACCTACAGGTAATTTTTCAGGGAATCCTGAGTAATGAGAAGTTCGAGTTAAAAAAAAAAAAGAAAATCAGCGTATTACAATTTTTTTTTTTTTTTAATGACTGAACTACTATAAATCCACAAGCAACAGTTCAGACACGGTGCTTCTGAAGTATTTCACCCCTCCCCAGCAGGCGCAAGCTGCATCAAGGAGAGCGTGGACTCCCCCACCTCTGCTTAGGCATCAGGAGACAGAAGGGACCATTACTGCTGAGCACCAGCAGCAGCTGGAACAGGCATCCCAAGGGGGTTGGCAGCAGCAATCACCGGTGAGCCTGCCAGAGGTCCAAGGGGTGAAGGGGTTGGCACTGAAGAAATCCCTGACATCATATTGGCGCTGCTGACAGGTGTACTGTCCCCCGGCATGCTAGATGAGCCCATTCGAGCCTGGTCCTTCACAACAGTATAGAAATAGGGGTGCTCCATGGCCTCTCTTGCGGTAAGCCATGACTAGTGGTCGTATCGCAGCAGCTTGTCCAAGAAATCCAAGGCCTCAGGGCTGACAAGGTGCTGGTTTTCACTGTGGACAAAGTGTTCCCATCACTTAAGGGAGTGTCTGTCCAAGATATCGTTGAAACATTGATCTAATTCAATGTTGTATTTGTCAATATAGTCATATAAATCTTCTGTCCTCCCCAGAACTCTGGCTGTCCTCACCAACTGATAATTATCATGTCCATGGAAAAATGGCTCCTTCTGGAAGATCATACTTGCCAGCATACAACCCAAGCTCCACATATACAAACTATAATCGTACATCTGATAGTCTACAAGTAGCTCAGGACCTTTGAAGTATGCGGAAGAAATTCTGACATTATATTCTTGGCAAGGATGGTAAAACTCAGCCAAACCCCAGTCTGTTAGTTGTAGCTTTCTGTGCTCATGATCAATCATGACATTATGGGGCTTCACATCTCTGTGCATAATTCCCATGCTGTGACAATAATCCAGGGCCTTCAGAATCTCATACATGTAAAATAGAATATCATAGTCTGTTAACGTCTGGTACAATTGCTTGAAGTCTGTGTTGTTTACGTGTTCAAAAACCAAGGCAGGGGTTCGTGACACAGGGTCTTTTACAATGTCTGCCAGTGTGATGATATTGGGACCGCCTCGTAAATTCTCCAAAATCTTTATTTCATGCTTGATTTTCTTCTTCTTTACTGGCTTGAGAATTTTAACAACTTTGTCATTATTTGTGATGTTGATGGCTTCAAATACTTCACTGTATTTACCCCGGCCTAATCTTCTAAGCAGCTGGTAGTCATCTTGATTACCCCACTACACCACGTGTGACTCATAATTCCAGTGCTCTTGGGGTCTGTGCATATTAACATCTGTGTAAACTCTGGCCCTGCTTGGCACGGGTCCCGACATGTCAGACAGGTTGGCAAGTGAAGGTGGACTTGATGTTTGGAGATCTGGTGGTCACTGTGTTCAGAAGCAGCTGGGGGTAAGACCTTGTTTCAGAACTGTTTTCTTTAAACTGTGGTGGAAGCAGCAGCGGCGCCTCTTCCCTCTCCTCACACAGACAATATGGCAGCGGCAGAGAAGGAGACACACAGCTTGGCTGCCAGCCGCAGGGACCAGAGCAAGGCTGCAGCCGCCCATCATTAGTTTTTGATGTAGTGTTCAGTGATTCATTAGTTGCGTATAACACCCAGCTCTCATCACACCATGTAATAAAATTTTATTTTAAGAAAATTATTTTTCTAAGTATTTTTTTACACTCAAAAGCAAGTGAAAAATTTACTCTATAAATGTGTAAACTGAAGTAGAGTTTCATAGACCAAATTTCATATACTTACTTTTCCTCCCTTTGGAAGTTTTGGCAATTTGTTAGCCTCTTAATTGCTCCTGCTTGCCTATACCTTAACTCCTACCTCTATCTCCCCCAATGAAACCTGGAGCCAAAGGAGGCTGACTTAGGAGGGTTTTAGCACTTCCTTCCCTGAAGTGTGGCAGCACCAACCCTATAAGCCACCCAAATTAAAAATATAATTTAAGTAAAATTACTGTACTTTCCATACAAGACAGTAGCTTTAACACAATTTTTTTACAAAATTGCTGTCCCCAAGTCCATTCTAAACAAATTCTGGAGCTTCTACTGGTTGAGGATCAGAATTATGAAAAAGTCCTGTCTGCTCTACCTTCTTAGGACGGTAAAAGTTTAGTGCTAAAGTTTAGTTCAGGTCCTTCAATCTTGGTGGGTGTGTGAATAAGTGACGTATGTCTGTTTGCATGTTTTGGGGTGTTAGGAAGAGAAAGGAAGATGCATGACAAAGTGTAAATCACAGCTTATCAGTAGCTATTAAGTTACTAGCCTTGGTAGGGAAGATAACAGTAATCCTCAAACCCCTTAATCTATGCCCCCAAACCTCTCACTCCAAGGCAAGAATTGATTGTGTTCTGTTTCTCTGTTCATATGGAACATATGTGAGCATGCTAATTATAAGTACTGCTAGTTGAGTTGATAGTCCTGGGCCGCAGAAAGCTGTTTTATGTCTAAGCTATCCAATTTACCTACATAATCCAAAATCTAGGATGAGGTGGCAAACTGTGAGAGTCTAGATAATTCTTGAACCTTACCAAGATCTCTTTGACAACCAAACACCTCAGATTATAGGCAATTACTTTAAAGCTAAAGGAAGGCAAGCCAAGTCCAACAGGAGGCCATAATATAAACAAATATTCTCACTCTTAATGGAACTTTCTAAAGACATGTCTGAATTTGATATATTGTTCGGTCATATATAAAAATATGTTCACAATTCAGTAACCAGTATGGAAATAAAGTCCGGTGTTACACAGACTTTTCTTTTTAGCTCCATAAAATCTAGCACAGGGTTTGACATGTGGTGACCACCCAAAATACTTGTTAACTGGATATATTTCCAGCCAAAATGTTGTATTCTGAAATAAAAGTAAGTGGGGCCATAAAAGCAAATTAAGAGTACAGTAACATTACACATTATTTTTCCCTTCTGTTGTTTTTTTATTTTAACACTTTTTTCTTTGTCTTTAGATTCAAAGATGAGGTGAAAATCCATTTTTAGAATAGGAATTTTAGGGGTTTTTTATATTCATAAACCAAATGGGAGTGATTTACCTCTTGCTAATCAATATAGCAGTGATGAAATGACCTCTTTAAGTTGTTTCAAATGGCCCCAGAATCTTTGGCTAATTTTAAAAAGCCTTTTTTGTTCTAACTTAGGCAAATCATAATATATAGATAAGATTTAAGTTTCATAAATTCTAATTAGATAGTTGAGTTTCAATAAGTAGATACATAACTTGTGTGATTAACAGGAGTTTTTGATAGTTAAGTAAATGCTTTTAATATCAGGTTGAAATTCAAGACTACTAATTTCTGCTAGTTTCTGTTTCTGATTGCCAATCTGCCTTAACAGATGAATTAGGGTATGTGGAGTAAAAGAGTACTAAAAAAGACAGTACAGGTCCTGCAAATAAACATCTGCATCTCAGCAAAGGGACTAAAAGTATTTAAACAAATTAGAAGTAGTTTCTGTACTTGTTCCATGAGATTTTTTAGAGTTCATATCTGATATGGGAGTTCTGGTTCATGGTAGAGTTTTGTATATCACAGATTTATCCCCCAAATAACACAATTCTTTGCCAGAAGATGAAGGTAATTGGGGTCCTCACAATACCAGGCTCCTCCATCGTGTGCTGTGAGACCATTAATAGAAACCTGAGCAGCTAGTGATGAGTTGCTCCCAAATACCCAATAGAAGTCTCCTTTGACAGATCAGTCAATCATTGCTAAAAACTCAAAACTCAGTACTCAGCTCCTGCAGCATCCATTCCGGGAACAATTCATTAGAGACTTGTAGACTTCCCTATAATTTTCCTGATAATGTATTATTTTAGGATACATTTAGTTTCAGGACTACAGTGAAGAAGAAAGAGGCTGT